GACACCAGAGCCCACTGAGGCTGTCAGGACACCAGAGCCCACCAAGGCTGTCCAGACACCAGAGCCCACCGAGGCTGTCAGGACACCAAAGGCGACTAAAGGTGCCGAGGTTCTCACTGAGGACAATGATGTCACACCAGTGGAGATCAGAGACATCGTTCCATCTCCACCCTCTGCCAGCTCACCCCCATCAGCTCTGCAAGTGGTTGAGATCCATCAGCCACAGAGCCAACTGCTGGCCAAACCTATGGCTGATTTTGATGAGGAGGTGAGAGGTTCCCTGACCCTGAGCACATCGGGAAGACAATTCAAAGGCAAGAGGAAAAAGCTGCAGTGGAGGAGATGTTTCAGTGGATGGCGGAGGCAGAAGATCCACCCAGCTCCACCAGAACATTTTGAGGAGGCCATCAAGTCAGCCAGCGCTGACTTGACAGGTAGCACTGAAGATAGCTACCAGACTCCCTCCTCTAAAGAGACGTCCTCCACCACCTCCTGCAGTTCTGCTCTAAAAGCAGACCACAGATTCATCCCCCTTAAGCTGGAGGACTACATAGAGGCACCAGAGCCCACTGAGGCTGTCACGACACCAGAGCACAGGTTCATCCCACTTAGGCTGGAGGACTACATTGAGGAAGAGGATCAGGCACTAGAGGACACCAGAGATGTTTCATCTCTGTCCTCTACAGGTCTGATCCCACCTGATCATCATGTTGCTGAGGTCACATAAATGATCAGCACTTACCAGGGCTCTGTGGACCAGTCTCAGCTTGACACTGAGGCAAAGAGGAGCAATCGCTTCTCTCGCTTCTTCAACATATTCTCAAAGGTAAGGAAGTGTTTATACGTAAAAATCTAATCAGTGTTATCTTTTTATTGAACTGTACTCATTTATTTGTATTTCTGTACTCACATGTTGTTTTTGTTTCTATTACTCCCCAAACAGAATGAGAAGAAGGAGGAGAAGAAGCCTTCAGACGAAAGTCTCATAAGGCAGCCTCCCTTTTGGAAGCAGCTGTTGAGCTGCAGTTCACGCTGCTTCAGGCTTGAAAACTGAACAACAGGATCAGGACCAGCTTCAGCCACTGGCCTGACAATAATTTCTTTTATGATTTCAAATCCATTGTCATTTGTTTTTATGTTTTTTTTATGAATTCATTATTCCACCATCAGCGAGGAGAGCGGAACGACATACCCCTCTCCTTGGTGTTGCTCTTCGGACTCTGAGATCTCAGAGATGATCGAGCCATTTCATCAAAATATTGATGAGGTGGTTAGACAAGTATGCCAAAGCTTCTTGTATCCAGAATATCTGGAGACAGAGGCAGAGGCTGTCCAGACACCAGAGCCCACTGAGGCTGTCAGGACACCAGAGCCCACTGACGCTCTCTGGACACCAGAGCCCACCAAGGCTGTCCAGACATCTGATCCCACTGAGGCTGCCACAACACTGGAGGCCACTAAGGTTGTTGAGGTCTTTACTGAGAGCACCGATGTCACACCAGTGGAGATCAGGGACATCGATCAGCTGTGCAAGTGGATGATGGATGTCCCTGATCTCCACTGGTGTGACAGGGACATCAGGGACATCCATCAGCTGTGCAAGTGGTTGAGATCCCTCAGCCACAGAGCCAACTGCTGGCCAAACTTATTACTGATTTTGAGGAGGAGGCGAGAGGTTCCCCCTCCCTGAGAACATCGGGAGGATGTTTCAGTGGACAGTTGGAGGCAGAAGATCCACCCAGCTCCACCAGAACATTTTGAGGAGGCCTTCAGGTCAGCCAGCGCTGACTTGACTGGTAGCACTGAAGACAGCTGCCAGACTCTCTGCCCTAAAGAGAAGTCCTCCTCCACCTCCTGCAGTTCTGCTCTATAAGTATTGTTCTTTGTTGTTACAGTCTTTTATTAATCTGCCTCTGTAAATAAATAATTTGATACTGATATTTCTGGTAGTTTGATGGACACTTACATCATAAGGGTTTAAAGGAACATGACTTTCCTTGTTACTGACAAACCAGTCTAAAGTAACACACACATTGTCTGTTGCATGTCAGCTGACAGCCACACACATAGAGAGTGTTACAGACAGAAGCAGTCAGTATAGGGCTGAGCCATGTTCTTGTACTGTATGTGCTTATTTAATAAGTGAATCCACTGTGAATATTAAGAGCAGCTTGTGACAGGCATTCGTTAGTCAATGTTACACACTCAGGCAAAATCTTCAAACTTCTGCCCTGCGATAAAACACATCCATGTGTGACTGTGACTCAGCTTCTACTGAAAATGTTACTTTGGTGTTAAATGTGGCTAAAGGACTTAAGCTAGTTACATACAGGCAGCAGCAGAGTCAGTGAAGTTCAATGGCCGTGGAGGAGTGTGTCAAGCCAGCGCTGACTTCACTTTTATAGCCATAGTGCTGTGGTTTAGTCTAGTTTACTGTAGTAGGTTTGCTGTGATTGTCAAAGGGGTGGTGGGGCCATAGCCTGATACAATCGCTAAGTATCATATACTTTTCTTTGCCACAGAGCTTAATTCATGCAATAACACAAAATCCAATGGAAAAATCTCATTGTTTTTTTGTCAAGGGAACTAGGGCAATGCTTACTCTCGTGTTGGCTTAAAAATAATCATCCCTGAACCACTCTATACAGATACATAACACATTAAAACAAGGTTGTTGTAGAAAATGTTACCTGTATCGGTAACCCTGCCTAACCAACTGGGCAAAACTTAGTGTACACACAGTAAAGCTGGCAGCAACCACACACTACAAAGACACAGACTGTGTAGCAGGTAAAGAAACTCCAGTCCACCCGCCTACGTGACGCATCAAAATCGTGCCCCATGTATATCTGTGATAACTGTAAAATAAGAAACCAAAGTAAATCAGTACATGATTTCTTAATGCTCATACTGACTAGCCTATATTGGCTGCTACAACAGCCTGATAGAATTCCCAAAATTAAGTTATGGCTTTTACTGTCAGTGTGCCACCCCAAGACTTTCAGTGGCCCCATTTGGCCACCCCTGTGAAACATTTATGGGGGCGTCACTGCTTGTTTTGCCTTTAGAGCCGAGGTTGATACTAACCAGCTTCACCTTATAGTGGGTGTTAAGAGTAAGGCATTGTCCATTTTATATGCAGTCTGTGTTGGGTATATTTTATGGACACGTATTAGAATATTTCATTGCCGTAACTACTGACTTGTAGTCACTCCTTAGCACCAGGAGAAATAAGTTCTGTTCCATATTTGAATTTTCACCTTTGAACTTTTACCTTATTTTGGATGGTTATGTCCGTAAGGCCTTACCAGAAGTATGTGACAGACACTGCCATGTGTTTTGTCTCCAGCTCTGAGGTACTGCAGGGAGCTTTTTACGAAGTCTTCTGGTGATAGGATCATCATGTTGGTTTTTTGGTAATCTACCATCCGAGTGGAAACCCCAAATGGAGACACTGCCTAGGAAAGCAGAAGAAGAATTGAGACAAAGAGAAGATTCTGAAATTTTTAAGATTTTGTGAAGAAAAAATCCCTTAAAATTAACAACTCATACCCTGATGCTTTGATTTACAGTAAAAACATGGAGTGAGTGACTTGGAGTACCTGTATGATAATCCCTTTATCTTTGTATTCAGCTTGTAGACCTTGGGAAAATCTTTCCACGAACACCTTTAGGAACACAATCAGAGCATCAGAAATCATACCATGTAACTCGGGTGGTAATGGTGATACTGTACTTGCCTTCGATGCAGCATACAGGGTGTACAGGGGGAATGGAACAGAGGCAGCTCCTGACGAAATATTCAAAATCACCCCTTTTCTCCTGCAGAGCCAGGAACACAATGGCGGTGGTACATTTGAGACTCAATGTTAATTAGCCTGTTAGGATTTTATGGTAATACACATTGCATCTAATGAAGAAAATATGGGTAGGAAACCTTTTCTCCATGCCTGGAAGGATTATTTTGCACATCTGGAGAGAAAAAAATATCCAGGATCAGATCTTAGACAAATGTAAGGATTGACAGAGTTGATTTGTTTGGGAGAAAAACAACTGAACTGAATGTCTATTTTATATTGTTAACTAGAAAAAGGTATGAGGACTGAAACCTTGTTAATGAAGGGATTCTTGTTTCCACTCATGAGTAACAGCAAATTCACACTCTTACCTTGGCCACAGTTTTCACATTGCAGTTTATCACCCTTGTGATTGTCTGAAAGCATAAAAAAATCATGTGTAAGGTGTCCATACTGATAATTAAGGGAAAATATAAGGGGAAGGACAGGGGTGGATACAATAGAGAGCTTTTACAATGAGGCTCCTTAACTTTCTAAAAAGTTAAGTAAGGGAAAAGTTTGATGAGGATCAACACTAGCTTGAGTAGATCTGATGTGACACTTACTACCAGTCAATCATTTATCAGTAATGCAAAGGGCTATAGGGCATATGAAAAGTACTTTTCACTACTTTTCAAATATTTTCTGAGGAAGGAAATGCATTCAACACATTTGTTCAAACTCAAGGATACCCACAATACATTCTGGTGAGCAGCGCTGCATATAAATATAAATTTTGCTTGTTTACAAGAAAACTTTACAGCTAAACTGCTGAGACACCACTAACCTGGTCCAGCTCTGCAGACTCAAGGAATTTGCAGGGGATGTAGCTGGGCAGAACGCCGACATTATTGACTGGTGCAAACAAAAAAAAGAAGATCCAGTTTCAAAGGTAGGAAGCAGCAGATATTACTTTTTTAAATTTGCCTGGGTCCAGACCCTTAAATCCACCCACTCCACTGAGTTCAGGCTGACTGACTCAAAGTGGAAATGGAGTGTAACGAGTTGATAATGCTGTCTGATATCAGGCTAATCCTAAATAACAGCCTTTTATTGTGGAGGCAAATGATGTAGAGAATAAAAAAAAGTCCAACCTAAAACCCCAATGTTGAGGTCCCTAAGCTGATCTTCAATTTCACTGTAGACGTTTTCTTGTATGAAGTCCGTTATTATCACTTTCACCTTCTGCCCTGTGGTATCACCTGAGAAGAATAAAAATGTGGGGTCAGCAACATACAGTACATTATGTACTCTTACAGATGACAGTCAGCTTATTTGTGCATGTAATTCAAGTTTTAAAGGACCAGTGTGTAAGATTGAGGGGGATTTGGTGGCATCTAGTGATGAGGATTACATATTGCAACCAGCTGAAATTTGAGATTCCTTCAGTCTTCATTGTTCAGAAGGTTTTTACTGGGAGCCGAATTCCTAAGCTATTTGGCACGATGCAGATTGGCTGCTCACCCAGCTGCTGCTAATGTGTGCTCTCCTTATCTCTGATCCACTTTTTTTTACCATGAGTGAAATTATCCGCAGAGGTCTCTTCCCCTTCAAAACAAACAGACGCTGTGATTTCAACAGGTAAAAACACCAAATAAAACAGGTTAATGTTTTAAAAATCTGCCTTTTTCTGATGCTTTCATCATTTTGTCATTGCTTCGAACTACAGTGGCAGATGCAAAAACGTCCAAATACAAATGGCCCTATCCAGAGCCAGTGTTTGGTTTGTCTCTTCTGGCCTACTGTAGAAACATGGCAGTGCAACATTGCGATCTCCATAGATATGGGCCCATTAATTCTGAAGATATAAATGGCGTTAAGGTGAGAAAAACTATACTATTTTTATTTTCAGGTAATTATACACTAAAGAAAACATACTTGTTGTATTATATTAAATTTCGGCCAATATATCCCCCTAGATCCTGTTTGGACCTTTAAAAGCAAGCAAAATAAGATATTTAAATACAGATATCAGGTTCTTACCTATTTCCTTGGCCACCTGGTCCAGGGCTTCTTTGGTTCTACTCATGATTACCACATTCATTCCTTGCTCAGCCAGCTGAAAGGAGCAAAAGTTCCACGGTGGACAGTCGGACAGATTTAAAAAAAAAAAAAAAAAAAAAAAAATATAAAATGGCAACAAAAATTAGCAGATGTACATCAAATAAAAAATACATAATTTAACCTGCATGATTAGGGTAGGAAATAAACACATACAGTCTTAGTTGCCCAGGTCAGAAAATCACTTACTGCAAATGCATATGCTCTTCCTATTCCCTCTGAGGCACCGGTCACAACTAGAAAAGAGATGCTGGGATTAGTGTTACTGTTAACAAATTTCATCAGTTGTTATATTCTCCTGCAGTTTCCACTCTTAACACCAGGGGCACTGTGAAGCAGAGCTGCGCTACATCATCTCTCTTCCTCTGCTGTCAGGCAAATCCCAGGATTGTTTAGCCTGGTTCCAGACCATAGACCCCGCCCACTCAACTGAGTAGGCTTGCATCTCTGGTCTGGCATACTTCAATGAATTTGCGATTTATCTCGTCCAAACGCTGGACGGACCAATGAACGCCGGGGGTCTAGCGATTAACCAATCAGCGCCACGCTGATGTCAAGCTGTACGCCGGTGGGTAACTGGTGAGGATAGCAACAATGGCGACAGCTACAGATCCTACAGACCACATTAACGATGCTATTGAGGTATTTCGCCACTACTAGCGTTAATGGAGGACCAAATTAAGGGAGATGCTAAACTGGATTTAACGGCGATGCAGCTGGGCATGCACGACGACGGAGACATTTTAAATGGGCAATGCTCGCTTGTTTTCGGCACCCCCAAGGCATGGATACTAATGACAGTGAGTCGTTGATCTCTACTGATTGGTTAGGGAAAAAATAAAATTCCCTCCCCCTTGTAAATCGCCTTCAATGGAAGCCATGTCAGACTGAAGGTTCTGGGAGCTTCAGTCTGACACTCAGGCTAAGGATTGTTTGTTTGTATTTGTTCACACTTTGCCCGACCCATCCTGTTCTAACAGACTGTACAGCATGTTCCCTGGTTCTGATAAAGAATTTGCTGAGAACAAACAGGGAACTGCTTGTTTCTGAGTATTCACTGCTCTCCCAACTCCTCCCAACTCCAATTACAGAGATCACAGGCTCTTTTACTCAGTTACTCACTGACACTATGTGCATCAATATTGAACCAAGCCTGTTTTTTCAGGACAGAGATTTAGAAATAAGTCAAGCCAAGAGGACTTTGGATGTGGTGCACTGTTGTCAACATGGGAATAAGCCAAGAGGGTGATCTGAGACTCTGACTGCTTAAATAAAAGCAGCAATTAGCATTTTTTTAGCCTTTTCATTAAGCTCTAAGCTCTAAAACACTATGTCCTCTCACTATGGTCATCTCGCTTCTGTCGCTATTTGATAACATAAATGCTCAGACAATTTTTTTGTGATGAGCATTGCATCTCTGCTTGTTGCTGATGACATACTGTAGCTCTCCTGGCTTCATCAAACTGCAACCTCCTGCTCGCACTGGGGCAGTTTGCAGCTCAGTGTGAAGCAGCTGCGATGATGATCAGTACCTCTAGGTAAGCAATTTGCTCCCAATACTGGTAATGTGAAGGAGTTCAAGTGATAGCCATAAACGAGAGCAAGATATAAGCTTTGGAATGATGTATGTGCAGCATTTTTGGTGCTGTGGTGATTTACTGGACCGTTGTGAGGAGGGGAGTGATATTCCAACCCTCACCTGTGGTCAACAGCACTGGTTGATCAAAAGACAGAACCGTGAGCTTTTTTGTAAGGTTTCTACACTCATCTTTATAGACAGAGTGATTAAGTCAGACTTTCTTCTTTCTTCTTCTTGAACATTTGATCAGGATGCCTCCCTGTGGAGGCATGTCCAGCTGGGAGGAGATCCTGCACCACACCTATAACACAATGTGGGGATTATATATTCCACCTCACACCTCAGCATCCCCCGGTCCAAAAATGGGTCGCAGGTTCACTCTGAATGGGCCGCAAGTGTATGTTTATCTTTATGTTTTTTTAATACAGTGAATTTCTGGCAAAGAGTTTTTATCATTTATATTTAGAGAACGCCTGCTGTAGAGTGTGTGATTAACATACAGCTACTTAACAGAGACAGAAAACTAGCTCGACGACATGACCAAATGCAAGTATAACGCTGAATATATTAAACTGTGTGGACCTTGAACTAATGACTGAGGAGAAATCTGGACTCTGTGGCTGGATCAGTTGGGAACCATTGGCCCAGGAAGAGCTAAAGGAGGTGGCAGAGGAGACCAACATCTTGGTTGCCTTCAGCTTGCAGCCATCAATCCAGACATGAGCCCCTTTTACACTGCCAGATTTTTTGGCGAATATTGGGCCATTTTGCCGGCAATCTGCAAGCGTTTAGACACACAGAGCTGGATTGGCGAATTGATCTGAGGTGCCCAATTTTCCGCCTCGTAGGGTAGACATATTGGCGAAACCCTTTTAGTTTAAAAAGACCAAGGCGGGCTTCCGCAATGGGAGGGGCTGTTGAAGACTTGTGGGAGGAGCTTTTGATGATGCCGCACGTGTGACCCACTGGCGGTGGATAAACAGGAAACAGCTGATAGCAGGAATTAGTGAGCAGCTGTAAAGATGAGCAGTTGGGGAGACAAGGAATTGCGCACCCTTCTTGTCCTCGCAAATGAAGAGGCCATTAATCGTCAAGTGACGGGGACGGTGAAGGACGGGCCAACTTAGGAGAGAATCGCCAAAGGACTGACTAGCTGCGGCCTCCTTCCCACATCACTGTTTACGTCACACGCTGAGCTACACGTTTTGTTACTTGCTCACGCCCCCCATTGCCCCGAAAAGGCGCATTCTGTATGAACAAAAGTAGGTGGGCGGCAATTTGCTGCACTCCCCGATTTTGTTTTTATACTGCCAATGCTGAAAGAAGACTGATTGGGCTTTCCTGCAAATTTGCACAATTCCTGTTTAAAAGGGCTATGGATAAGTGGAAAAATATTCAGGATTTTTTTTTCTGACATCTCCTTAGCTGCTAACATAGCTAAAAACGGCAGCAAAGTCTGCAACTGTAAAATTTTGCCCCTCTGTATATTCGGCTGCCATTTGTTGGTAACATATAAGCCATGTTCAACACTAACCAGAGCAAATTGAAAATCTTTACTAGGTTAGAAAAGACTCGTTAATAGTTAAATGCTCCTGCAGATGTAGATTCACATGAAGCATTACCTTACAGGAAATACATTCTTGAATGGTTATATAATATTGGGATGGTTCAGTATCTAACTGGTTGCATTTTATAAACAAGCAGGAAACAATAATCTGCATTCACATTTTCAGAAGAGTCTCAGGCATGACAGGCATTTCTTCAAAAAGGGAGAGACACAAATACTACCACTCAAATTCCTATTAGCCAATCCATGGGAACATGTTCAGTCATCCAATATCTGATAGCTTCACTTTATGTCACAGAGGTTATTTTTATTTTGGTGCCAATTTAAGACAACAATTTCTCCATACACTCTCTGTCCTTTTTGTTTCAGTACCATAGTTGCCAGTGAAGTATGAGAGTGCTGAGAGTCTACTCTGAGGGCAGCAAGAGGATCAGAGAAAGTGTGCTGAGCCAAGAGGTCCCTATTGAGCACAGTTTCTCAGTGTCATCTTTGCACAATGCCCTGAGTCCACACTATGCCAGAACACTGTTTTCCCTGTTCCCACAGTTACCATATTGTGTGCTGCTGATTCACTGTGAGATGGTTGCGCTCCATTGACAAACACATTTTGATTTACATCAACAAATAGACTGCAGGGGGAAATTCCTGCATGGTGTATCAAATAAAAACAAGCTGAGATCAGCATGCATTGCTGTTTGTCTTTTTTGATACCACCAGTGGAGGGGGCAGCAATGTCAGAACACTTCAGATCCTACAAATAGTGGTTCTAAAATCTTGAGATTTGTGCTCCTGACCACTCGACCCATTCTCACTCTGACCTCATATGGACGTTTGGTCATTGGCTTTCCACGTCGAGATAATACGTGCAAGGTAACCTTGGTGCATTGGTTGTTGACATCCTAGGACACTGTGTGAACTTAACCCTGTTACATGCATTTTCTGTTTTCAAAATACGCTTCCGTTTTCACATGAAATGTACAATTTGTATACGGTCTCTTTCAAATAAAATTCACCATGTTGGTAAAACACTGCAAATTGATGTTTTTTTTTCTTTCAACAACAAACACACATGGTTTAGGTTTAGGCAACAGCAGCTCATGGTGGGGTTTGGAAGAAAAGAAAAGGGTTTGGTTTACAATCATATGGGAAGGGAACATCAGCCTCCAAGGTGAAAGTCGTGGTTGTTGGACCCATCCACCACCCCTCCCAACCTCCCTTCTTGGATTTTTGCCCCCTCAACAAACACTGTCTGGCTGGGTTTCCATTAAACAATAATGGTGACCTGCCGCGTATCATGTCGATGTGAAAGGATGGCTTTTTTCGTTGGTGGTTGACGTCAGAAGTCACTGGCCAAGTGCCGGTTTTCAACAACTTTGAAGTGAGATGGTTGTGAGATGGTTGCGCTCCATTGACAAACACATTTTGATTTACATCAACAAATAGACTGCAGGGGGAAATTCCTGCATGGTGTATCAAATAAAAACAAGCTGAGATCAGCATGCATTGCTGTTTGTCTTTTTTGATACCACCAGTGGAGGGGGCAGCAATGTCAGAACACTTCAGATCCTACAAATAGTGGTTCTAAAATCTTGAGATTTGTGCTCCTGACCACTCGACCCATTCTCACTCTGACCTCATATGGACGTTTGGTCATTGACTTTCCACGTCGAGATAATACGTGCAAGGTAACCTTGGTGCATTGGTTGTTGACATCCTAGGACACTGTGTGAACTTAACCCTGTTACATGCATTTTCTGTTTTCAAAATACGCTTCCGTTTTCACATGAAATGTACAATTTGTATACGGTCTCTTTCAAATAAAATTCACCATGTTGGTAAAACACTGCAAATTGATGTTTTTTTTTCTTTCAACAACAAACACACGTGGTTTAGGTTTAGGCAACAGCAGCTCATGGTGGGGTTTGGAAGAAAAGAAAAGGGTTTGGTTTACAATCATATGGGAAGGGAACATCAGCCTCCAAGGTGAAAGTCGTGGTTGTTGGACCCATCCACCACCCCTCCCAACCTCCCTTCTTGGATTTTTGCCCCCTCAACAAACACTGTCTGGCTGGGTTTCCATTAAACAATAATGGTGACCTGCCGCGTATCATGTCGATGTGAAAGGATGGCTTTTTTCGTTGGTGGTTGACGTCAGAAGTCACTGGCCAAGTGCCGGTTTTCAACAACTTTGAAGTGAGATGGTTGTGAGATGGTTGCGCTCCATTGACAAACACATTTTGATTTACATCAACAAATAGACTGCAGGGGGAAATTCCTGCATGGTGTATCAAATAAAAACAAGCTGAGATCAGCATGCATTGCTGTTTGTCTTTTTTGATACCACCAGTGGAGGGGGCAGCAATGTCAGAACACTTCAGATCCTACAAATAGTGGTTCTAAAATCTTGAGATTTGTGCTCCTGACCACTCGACCCATTCTCACTCTGACCTCATATGGACGTTTGGTCATTGACTTTCCACGTCGAGATAATACGTGCAAGGTAACCTTGGTGCATTGGTTGTTGACATCCTAGGACACTGTGTGAACTTAACCCTGTTACATGCATTTTCTGTTTTCAAAATACGCTTCCGTTTTCACATGAAATGTACAATTTGTATACGGTCTCTTTCAAATAAAATTCACCATGTTGGTAAAACACTGCAAATTGATGTTTTTTTTTCTTTCAACAACAAACACACGTGGTTTAGGTTTAGGCAACAGCAGCTCATGGTGGGGTTTGGAAGAAAAGAAAAGGGTTTGGTTTACAATCATATGGGAAGGGAACATCAGCCTCCAAGGTGAAAGTCGTGGTTGTTGGACCCATCCACCACCCCTCCCAACCTCCCTTCTTGGATTTTTGCCCCCTCAACAAACACTGTCTGGCTGGGTTTCCATTAAACAATAATGGTGACCTGCCGCGTATCATGTCGATGTGAAAGGATGGCTTTTTTCGTTGGTGGTTGACGTCAGAAGTCACTGGCCAAGTGCCGGTTTTCAACAACTTTGAAGTGAGATGGTTGTGAGATGGTTGCGCTCCATTGACAAACACATTTTGATTTACATCAACAAATAGACTGCAGGGGGAAATTCCTGCATGGTGTATCAAATAAAAACAAGCTGAGATCAGCATGCATTGCTGTTTGTCTTTTTTGATACCACCAGTGGAGGGGGCAGCAATGTCAGAACACTTCAGATCCTACAAATAGTGGTTCTAAAATCTTGAGATTTGTGCTCCTGACCACTCGACCCATTCTCACTCTGACCTCATATGGACGTTTGGTCATTGACTTTCCACGTCGAGATAATACGTGCAAGGTAACCTTGGTGCATTGGTTGTTGACATCCTAGGACACTGTGTGAACTTAACCCTGTTACATGCATTTTCTGTTTTCAAAATACGCTTCCGTTTTCACATGAAATGTACAATTTGTATACGGTCTCTTTCAAATAAAATTCACCATGTTGGTAAAACACTGCAAATTGATGTTTTTTTTTCTTTCAACAACAAACACACGTGGTTTAGGTTTAGGCAACAGCAGCTCATGGTGGGGTTTGGAAGAAAAGAAAAGGGTTTGGTTTACAATCATATGGGAAGGGAACATCAGCCTCCAAGGTGAAAGTCGGTGGTTGAGACAGGGTTGGACCACTGGTGGACTCTAAAAGTGCCCTCTTGGATGCCTCCAGGGTGCCCTTTCAGTGAAGAAAATGAGATCCAGTGTATGGTTGTCATGAGAACCGAAACGTCTGTACCAAGTCGATGCCTACACGCAAAAAATATGTCGGTAACTGTTTTTTTTTCGGTACCGTAAGTACCGGATACAACTTTGCCCTCAGCGGGCTGTGTCGATTCCTGTTGGAACTGACAGGGGCAGTATACGCATGTTAGTCGGTGCCGAGGGCGAGCACCGAAGAAGAACACCTGTTCTCCATCATCTTTGCTAGAAACAATGGCTTTTATAAGTGCTGCTGGAGCCACAACACCCCGGCTTGTCGAAAAGTCAGGTAGTAGGAGTCGTGTGTGCAGAGGGTTAGGCCTTATTTACACTGCAAGCGATGTGTTCGTGTAGCGCTCGCGAACAGTCGCTGTTTACTCGCATTTTCATTTCGGCGAGCATGTTAACAGATTAGAGCATTCACACCTCATCCATTCTATGCGCTGCTCGAGTCATGCTGCTTTTGCGAGCAAGCTCAAAAATAGAAGAGATGCCAATTTTTGGCGCGAGTTGCGAGCAAATGGTCACGGTATTCAACAAAAAACATGTGTTTGCGTGTGTCGTGACCTCTCTCAGCCACCGTAGCCGCAACGCTTGTGGGCCGCTTGCGGTGTAAATGAGGCCTTAAGTTAAAGTTTGAAACAGTTTTAATAAAGTAGTGAATTTAGAAAAACATGAGTTCTGTTTTTTTTATTTTTATCATGGTATCAAATGAGTATCGAGAATCGTGGAAATTCACTGGTATTGGTATCGACTACTGAAATTCTGGTATCGTGACAAGTCTAATCCAGTGCACCAATAGGTACCCTTAAAATGGAGAAAACATGATGTAGCGCCATTGTAAGATTGATCTCAATGGTGCCCCTTTAATATTATTCACCCCTGCCCCTCAGTTAGCCTGAGTCCGCCACTGCCCCTGACCTTATAGATAACAGCACTCAAGCAGCAGCAACCTTTTAGACAAGAAAAAGGAGATTGACCCATGCACCACACAAAACGTCTTAGGCCACTTTAAACTGAAAAGACTGTGAAGGAGACACAAACTTAAGCAAATGTGGTCTCAGATCATCAGGGCATAAATTGATGCAGAGGGACAGGGTTTATAAAGCCTAGAACACACTGTTCTGATGGCTGTTTTCCTCTGTGCTGCAATGGAATGAAAGTGGGCTTTAGAAAGAAAGGACAGATCAGCCCAGCATTGTGTTTTTATATGAGGCTTCTTTAAGCGCTGTGAGAGACTGAATAACCTCTTCAGAAGATGAGGAAATCTTGTAATTCGATGAGACTGGTCTGGTACCCGCAGAGGAATGTTTTGATGTAACTACTGGGAAACAAGGGGTGAGGGGAGCCAGAACTGATGATGTGTCCACAGTCACAATTAGGTTAAACCACACTGACACTGTCTCCGTTTATAGGAAGCTTACCAGTTTAATTCCCTGTGCCAACTGGAGAAAGCAGTAGTGCTTTCCTTATCATCCTTACTCACCCTGAGAGCAGTTTGTACCAGCATTACCACTGTGTACTGTGATTGTTCTGCTTTAACACCAGTGACAGCAGTTTGCTAATACAATTACTATTTTTAACTATAATCACATTGGTAGTGAACATTTTACAGATAAACTCTGAATGAATGCTCTGTTTTAGTGAAGAAAAAAGATTTTAGCAGCAACATGTTTTGTAGATACATTGATGAGATCCCTTTTCTGTACATGTAAATGGCTGTAAGCTGCTGTACTGTAAGTAGGTGTGACTACATGGCTTCTCAGAAAAAATCAAGAGCCTGCCAGTTTAGGTTCAAATATGTCAAGTGTGAAAAGTCTGAACAAATCTAGAACTGGGAACTCTTCTTTTTCTTTTTCCTGCCAAATTTTCTTCATTCAACAGTGAGCTCAGTCAGGTAAATAAACCATTACCTACTTTCAGCCCTTTTGCATGTACAGGCACATCCTGATGTGCACTTTCACACATAGTAATGTACCCATACAGCCATAATGAAAACACATTTAAATGTAGTGTTTAATCACAAAACATAAGTAGTTAGTTATGACTGTGACTGACATCTAAATTGTCCTGATGCTATTTTTCCTATCTGTCAAACTCCCAGCATTATTTGTCCAAAGTATGGCCCATAGGTCTGACATACATTACAGTACACACACACATGCATGCATGCACACACAACTCACCTGCCCACTCTCCCATAGAGGTGAAAAAGGACTTTGACAGTGGAAACCACATCTTGGGAAAAAGCATCCTACTAAAAAGCAGCAGTTTCACTCCATAGCAGACAATAACTGCAGTGCCAAGAGGAATGAAAAACAATTCCATTAAATCCATGCTTGTCCGGCACAACAACAAACTCTGGCTTTAAGCTGTCTGCTCTGAGAGAAAAGTTTTTAGTTCAGTGATTCACCAAAAATAAAGCAGGACAGAAAGAGAAGGGAATAACCCTGCCAGAGGACACTCCCATTTCAAGACCCCCCCCCCCACACACACACACACACACACACACACCCACAGACTCACAGACTCTCATTCTACCTCTGACATGTATGCACACATACTCATGGATAGCACATGTACATTTCATTCAAACTGATGAAATGTATGGAGAGATGCAGGCTGCCAATATTCTTTAAAGGCCTTTTGAGGCAAATTTCTGATATTGGGTTATTTGCCTAGGTCTTCCCTTTGCCATCAGCACCGCAGTGTCTGATCAGATGTTTGGTACAAACTGACCCATCCACATCTTCTTTTCTTATATGCACCCACCCCTCAATAACATACCTGGTAAGCTACTAAATTCCTCACATGTTATGCCGGTAGAGAAGCAGCCTGCAGCGATGTGAGCAGGGTGAGTCCCACACTGCCAGTGTCAGTGGAAACCAAAAGAAGCATGATTAGGATTACACGAAGTCTAGTCTAAGTGTAAGTTTGACACTGTCACCTGCCTGCACAGCTGGTTTCTTTTAGTTTCTTCTAGTCTATAAGCGGTCGTGTTTTCAAAGCTTACCTCCTGCCCTTCACCTGCCTGTCCTTTGGTTCTGTTGCTGAAGATCTGCACACAGACTTTACTTGTAATCTGGTTCTGTGCAAAACCCACACAAACTACTGGTGCTCTGCAACCCTTGTCCATATACATGGATATCCATACCGATAGATTTTGCGTCCAAGTTCAGATTCAAAACACAGTAGCAGGTCTGTCTGTCTCATTAACATAGCATGGCCAAAGTGTGATGAGTGCCATTTCACACTTGTATTCTTCATGTGATCATACAGAATAACTGTAAGAAGACGTATGGGAGAGTATGTGGAGTAAATTGAAGATAGGGATGTACACCCTTTGGTACAGAGCCAAAGTAAATGTGTGATTGGTCTAAAAATATGAGCTTCTAGCAATCTACCTCTCAGAACCTGTTAGGCTGGTTGATAAGAAGTTAATGATCTTGTTAGAGAGACAGAAACACATCTTCTGGATTCAGGGGTGTAAGGTAATTATGATAGGTCCCAGTGCACGCTATTATAACGGACACTAGTGCACGCGATCGTGCACATATCGTCTCGTCACATGATCAGAGACTTGACATTGGATAAGATCAATGTACACATTACCCAGCAATCCTCATTACATACAGTACAGGCCAAAAGTTTGGACACACCTTCTCATTCAATGCGTTTTCTTTATTTTCATGACTATTTACATTGTAGATTCTCACTGAAGGCATCAAAACTATGAATGAACACATGTGGAGTTATGTACTTAACAAAAAAAGGTGAAATAACTGAAAACATGTTTTATATTCTAGTTTCTTCAAAATAGCCACCCTTTGCTCTGATTACTGCTTTGCACACTCTTGGCATTCTCTCCATGAGCTTCAAGAGGTAGTCACCTGAAATGGTTTTCCAACAGTCTTGAAGGAGTTCCCAGAGGTGTTTAGCACTTGTTGGCCCCTTTGCCTTCACTCTGCGGTCCAGCTCACCCCAAACCAACTCGATTGGGTTCAGGTCCGGTGACTGTGGAGGCCAGGTCATCTGCCGCAGCACTCCATCACTCTCCTTCTTGGTCAAATAGCCCTTACACAGCCTGGAGGTGTGTTTGGGGTCATTGTCCTGTTGAAAAATAAATGATCGTCCAACTAAACGCAAACCGGATGGGATGGCATGTCGCTGCAGGATGCTGTGGTAGCCATGCTGGTTCAGTGTGCCTTCAATTTTGAATAAATACCCAACAGTGTCACCAGCAAAACACCCCCACACCATCACACCTCCTCCTCCATGCTTCACAGTGGGAACCAGGCATGTGGAATCCATCCGTTCACCTTTTCTGCGTCTCACAAAGACACGGCGGTTGGAACCAAAGATCTCAAATTTGGACTCATCAGACCAAAGCACAGATTTCCACTGGTCTAATGTCCATTCCTTGTGTTTCTTGGCCCAAACAAATCTCTTCTGCTTGTTGCCTCTCCTTAGCAGTGGTTTCCTAGCAGCTATTTGACCATGAAGGCCTGATTGGTGCAGTCTCCTCTTAACAGTTGTTCTAGAGATGGGTCTGCTGCTAGAACTCTGTGTGGCATTCATCTGGTCTCTGATCTGAGCTGCTGTTAACTTGCGATTTCTGAGGCTGGTGACTCTGATGAACTTATCCTCAGAAGCAGAGGTGACTCTTGGTCTTCCTTTCCTGGGTCGGTCTTCATGTGTGCCAGTTTCGTTGTAGCGCTTGATGGTTTTTGCGACTCCACTTGGGGACACATTTAAAGTTTTTGCAATTTTCTGGACTGACTGACCTTCATTTCTTAAAGTAATGATGGCCACTCATTTTTCTTTAGTTAGCTGATTGGTTCTTGCCATAATATGAATTTTAACAGTTGTCCAATAGGGCTGTCGGCTGTGTATTAACCTGACTTCTGCACAACACAACTGATGGTCCCAACCCCATTGATAAAGCAAGAAATTCCACTAATTAACCCTGATAAGGCACACCTGTGAAGTGGAAACCATTTCAGGTGACTACCTCTTGAAGCTCATGGAGAGAATGCCAAGAGTGTGCAAAGCAGTAATCAGAGCAAAGGGTGGCTATTTTGAAGAAACTAGAATATAAAACATGTTTTCAGTTATTTCACCTTTTTTTGTTAAGTACATAACTCCACATGTGTTCATTCATAGTTTTGATGCCTTCAGTGAGAATCTACAATGTAAATAGTCATGAAAATAAAGAAAACGCATTGAATGAGAAGGTGTGTCCAAACTTTTGGCCTGTACTGTATCTGTATATAACAAAAAATACCAAAGAAAACAGAAAAAAAGAAAATATTACCTTGATTTAACATTTTTAATAGTTTATTTATAATTATAGAATAAGAATATAATTTTGTCATAGATGCTACTGACTATTTTAAAAAAAAAAAAAAAGATGTGTTTGCCTTTTTCAAGGGCATATATAGCAAGTGGTTTTTAATTTGATGAAAGTTCTTCTTTGAACATAGGCGTATCAAGGTAGCAATCGGCCCATTCTCCACCCAACACATCACTGGAGGGCCCATTCGTTCTATGTGCCTGCACTGTCTATATTTATGCCCCTGACTGGACTGATTCATTCTCCTTGATTTGACTTGTCAGGTGTTTAATTTCCTCAATGAACCAAAACACCCCAGTTTGGTCATTTTAATACTCAATACAGAATTTTTATAACACAATTCATAAAGATATCCTGGGATAGGATTATACAGTGTGATAGAGAATTTTTTGCTACAGCTAAAACAATGTATTGATTATTCAGTTGCAACTATTTTGATATAATAGGATGAAATGTTGATGATAGAGAATTTGTTTGAGTCATGTATGTTTAACAAAAAATTCCAACATTCATCCATTCCAGCTTCTTAATTGTGAGGTTTTTCCAACATTGTAAATCTGAAAATCTGTAGGTGTTTGCTCCACCTTGACATTACACAAGTAAATAAATATATCAATAAATAAATAATAAGCATCACTCATCAGGGTGGGAAACGTCAGATGTGACTCTGCACCTTTTCCTTTGAATGGAAAAATCAAAATAAAGTCTATAAAATAGATAAATAAATAAATTAAAAGCACTGATAAACTCTGCACCTTTTCCCCTGATTGGAAAAAAATTACAATAAAGTCTATGAAATAAAAAAAAGTCTATGAGATAAAGATACACAAATAAATAAATAAAATTATGATATATTATAGTTTGATTTAATTTTTTTTGAAATTATAATTATGATATAATACAACTATATTTAACAACAACAATAATAATAATAGTAATGATAATTATAAACTAGAATATGCAAATAAATCAAAGCTAATTAAAAGCTTATTTGTAAGAAATATTTTTTTTAAAAGAGTTTAAGAAGAGGACACTGAGGTGACTTGTCTGGAGATTGTTCCACCTGCAGTGGGGACAGAGAATATGGTGCCCTATAGTCTATGGTATACCATTTTATTGTTTTATAAATGCCACTTGCTATGGATACTGTCCTACAGACAACAGTGATGATGAGGAGGAGTAATGATGATACCTGCACATGTTTAACTGCAGCATACAGCAGCAGCAGCAGCTGGCTCCATTCATTCATGACGAAGAACGCCTGCCCTGACGTCATCAGCGTGCGCCTGCTGTATTGCTCGCGCCATTCCTACAAGCGTGTGTTTCCATCTCCCATTACATTACCATTGGCAGAGCTTTAGCAGCCACTGCTACGGCACAGTTTCTGTTTCTCTACCGTCACTCTCTCAGGTGAGTCCGGTTTAATGCCTCTATTGTGACACATGTGCTCGAGGAAAGACGTTATTTGACATAACGGCTACTGTCGGCCCCTGGTTACGCGTTGAATAAGTTTAGCTTGCTAGCTAGCCCAAAGTTAGCTTGGTGTTTGGGGAATGCACAATTTGGAGACTCGAGTGTCGCTTTTTTTCATCAGTGAATGTGTTGGTGTCTTATTTGTATTTTAGATGACACGCAGAGAGGGCCACTAAACCAACCTGGAGTATACTGCGAATATTTCAGAGCTAATAAAGTAAACTGTGATGAATGTAACGCTAATGACACAGTTGCTGCTCTTTTTCTGACCTCATACCACTCACCTTGTTTTGGTTTTTACTCTGCTGTGAATGTGTCATGGTGTTGAAATTTTATAACAACGTTTCTGTGCGTCTGTGTCGCATGTAGCTGTGTTTTGTAACAGGGCCAGGCAGAGGATAACTTGGCTTTAGTCTAATCAATCTCAGCCGCACCGTAGATAACGTTTTAGTTAGTAACGTTAAAGCTAATGCTGTCAGTATGTAGCGCTCATTAGCTAGCTGTTAAAGTTATGCTGCCGCTAGCTTACTTGTTTACTCAACCACAATTTGACAGCCAGGTTAACGTTAGCTTATGTTAGCGGCAGAGGCCATTGTATATGCAGAACTCCAGACATGTAGCAGAGAAACGTTGGATAAAACCCGCAACACATAGCTTTGTCCAAACAGATGTTCTATAAATGCAACAACAACAACGAGCTGTTAGTGTTACCCCGTATGCTAGCATGCTAACTGACCTGTTACACAGCTCGCATATTTCCTCTTCTAATTGTCAATAGCAGGCAGTCAAGTCAAGCAAGTTTCATGCTGTACATTTCTAGTATACGTGGTGAAGGTGCATGCATTTCTGATCTGGTCAGCACGCAGTGTGTAATGGGAATGACAGGTGCACAGGTGCCACATGTTGTGCTTTAATTAGAAAGTCAACAAAAAAATCTGGCAACAGGCCCCTTTTCACAGAGGACATTTTTATATGTCGCAGTAGGAAAAGCTTGGGTGTAAATATGACATAATCATGGCTGGATTCCTTCTTGCAGCTTTGCTTTCAGTGCTGTCACACTGTCATGGCTTACTGGGATACCTGAGCAGAATGGAGACTATTATTGTTATTAGGAACATCTCTGCTTCTCCTGCCATGGCAAGTCAAACAATCTGCAGGGAAAGAGGTCTGGCTATGATGTTAGCACCACCAACAACTGACCATGTTTCAGCTGTATGGATGTTGTACAAGTAGTGGTATCCTGCTTAGACAGGTTTGACACAGCTGCAATACTGACAGTACCACAGTGTATAGGAATTCTGGGCAGGCTGTTGCAATTGAAATTGACCTCAGGCACCTTACACCGATTGCATGTCCTTTTCGAGGGTGTCTCCTACTGTGAGTAAAGTGCTTAAACTCCATCCATCCATTTTCATCCACTTATCTGGGGCTGGGTCGTGGGGGCAGCAGGCCAAGCAAAGCACCCCAGACATCCCTCTCCCCGGCAACACTTTACAGCTCCTCCTGGGGGACCCCAAGGCGCTCCCAGGCCAGCCTCCTACCAGTGGGACATACCTGGGACACCTCTAGCAGGAGGTGCCCAGGAGACATCCTAGTCAGATGCCCGAACCACCTTAACTGATCCCTTTCGACGCGAAGGAGCAGTGGCACTACTCCGAGCTCCCTCCGGATGTCCGAGCTCCTTACCCTGTCTCTAAGGCTGAGCCCAGCCACCCCGTGGAGGAAACTCATTTCCACCGCTTGTATCTGCGATCTCATTCTTTTGGTCACTACCCAGAGTTCATGGTCATAGGTGAGGGTTGGGATGTAGATGGACCAGTATTGAAAGCTTTGCTTTCCGGCTTTGCTTTAGTACTCAAACTGAGACACCTAAATGATGATTTTGAGTGGTGCAGTGACAGCACTGAGAATCTCCACCCAAGCCATGTGAGTGAGCCTAAGATAAGACCAGCCTCTTACAGTGATGCAACCTGATTTTAGTTCATCTCGATAAGTGTCTCAGTGTACCAGACAGCTCAGATCATTGTTTCTGCCCAAGCTCACTGGTTACACTGCTAAGCATGTGTGCATAAAAAGCATTTATCTGAGTTGTCGGTGAAGATTCTCAGTCATCCAGGTCATGGTAATCGTAAATGCTATATCATAGGCAACTGGACTTGCTTGCGTTTCTTGAAGACATTTCACCTTTCATCCAAGAAGCTTCTTCAGTTCTAAATGACTGGTACGAAGTTGCAGACAATAACCTGCACAGGGTTTTATGGGAATGGGGTAAAAACACAATTCATTGTAGTTTATTTAGTGACCTTTGCACGTCTAACTCAACTCTTAAATGTTGTTTAAAAGCAACATTTTCATATTTTGTATAAGTTGGGGATGAGAATATCAGTCTAAATTCCACCCAAACTTTTGTACCATAATTATACAGTAATTAAATCTGAGGGTTGTTTTAGCCAATTAATAGTTACAGAGCTTCTACTAGTAGGAAGAAACTCTGTAATACTTGTTCATGTGGGTTTGTTGGCCACAAAATCAGCCATTGCTGTTTGCACTTAAATTTAGACTTTCCTCCCTTTTTTTTATAAATGACCTAATTAAGTACTTATCAGCCTGTTAGGGATGATAGTGTCATAAATATTAATAGATATCCCGGAATCGAAATGAAAATGTTTAAAAGCATAGTTAAAAAGTTATCATCGCTGAGTGTGTGTACATGCACACAAGTATCTGTAGTATCTGGGTTTTGAATCTTATCCCGGTCTCGATCATATTCTGAGTATGATGTTTATATGGATCATAGGTTTGTGATTGTTTGCCCCACTGCCAGTATCAGTCTTTGACTGCTCCATATCTAGCCTCTCTCTGTAATTTCTGTAAAAGCCGAGCACAGTTTAGTTTCAGGTTGTCTGGACTCTGCTGCAGTTATAGCTTCCAGCTGGATTTAACTTCTCCATCTGATGAGAGCGACAATGCAATTCATCTTCTGAAAGGACATGTCAGACTTTCACTTTAATTTCAGACTGTAGATCATAGTTGCATCATATGTTGTAATATCTTCCATTTTACTGACTAGTCATTACCTGATTTGTCGATGCATCTGCACACATAGCAGAGACTGTTCATTCAGAAGCCTGGAAGTAGGTGTATACATGCTACACTATCCAGGCTACTATCCAGGTACTCTAGCAAACATATGTGGGCTTCTCAAAACTGAGAAATGCTCATCAAGGGTTCTGAAACCAGGATATGATATTTACATGTGCAAAACATCATATCCATCTGAAATACTAGTGTGCTTGTCCATTAAACACAGTCAGTGTTGCATTAAGGTTAGCAGGTGGATTTCTATCTCTGATGTTGATCCATATAGAAACTGGTCCCTTAATTGTGTGATGGCCACCAGAGACATAAGCGCTCCTCATTAATCTCATTTAAAGTAGACTGGTTCTATACTTGCTACGTCCACACCTTAAAACAAAAAAAAACCCTTCTCAGAGTCTTCTAATGGCTTTGTTACTTAATTAATAATTCAAGGACTGTTTATTAATATAATCTGTCTCTTTTATGTGAGAACCTGTTTGACCAAAGCACTTCCACTGTATTCTTGTGTGGAGACGGCCTTAATTCACGTGCAATTACAAAAGCATGCAGTGGATCATGGTGATGGATATTTGTTTCTGGGCTGCAGATGGCAGCCTTGCTCAATATTCTCGTATTGAAACTTTATAGTGAAAGCTCACTTTGACCATACTACCTCTGCTGTTTTTTTTTCCAGACAGAAATATTTATTCACTAGGATAATCTGGTTGTTTTCTAAAAAGAGATGTGTTTTTAACATAGTTTGTGTCCGGTTATTGACTGCTTCTTATAGCCTCTGATTGCAGTGTCTTCATATGAGTAGTTGACAGACATGAATAATGTGAGAATAATGTGAGAAAGTAAACAACGGTCCTATTATTGACAAACTCCTCTGGAGATGTTGTTCTATGACGTCCATCAGGAAGGATTCGTGATCCCAAAGTAGGTCTGGTTACGGTTTATTATTCTATCTGAGAATCCCTTTTTTGAGGCACAGAGGCAACTGACTCAGGTACTTTGTTTGAAACTGAAAAACACCATCGGACCTGTGAAGCTGGGGTGCTTGAGTACTATCTGGGACATAGAGCAGCTCCTTGTGTGGGAGAGGTGACTGCCAGTGTTTCTATCAGGTGTGCTCTTCTTTTGTCAGAAGGATTTGTTTCCTTCTCACTATGTTTGACAGTGATTTCAGCGCCACTTGATCTATAATAAAAATGGTTTAGAAAAGGATAAAGCCAGACAAAGCGAAACAGAAGATTCCTTGTTCTGACATTTTTTTGTAGATGTAATTTGACTGCCTCAGCTTTCAGTTGATGTTTTATTATGCTGTTTTTCCCTACGGTGAATCTATTTTAAAAGGTTTTTTTTTATTTCTCAACTCAGCCAGAACTTTTCACAACAAGAGCAATGAAACTCTTTACTTGTCTGTTTTCCTCCTCCCCCTCCTCCCCTCTCATACTCCCCCCCGCAGATATATCCAGCTATGGATATGGACGGTGCCAGTTCTGTGGTGCTGCAGGCCTTAACCCAAGCCACCAGTCAGGACACGGCTCTGCTGAAGCCTGCGGAGGAGCAGCTCCGACAGTGGGAGACTCAGCCAGGCTTCTACTCTGTCCTTCTGGTGAGGGATGGTATCAAATAATTGGAATAAATCTGCTGAAGTGAAAACTATTAAAACTTTAATGACTGGAGACGGTAATGAATGTGGTGTATCTCGCAGAATAGCAGGCCGACGTCGGGTTTGTGCTCATTTCTAATGCACTTTAGTTTTTAAGTAAGTTCTTAGTTCTTAAGTAACTTAATTCAAACAACCAAAGGAGAGTGTTTCTCTGCAGATCAGTTATTAATAGGAGGGGAATGTCTTACATTCTGCAAAACAATAGCAGATTGAGAGGTTATATATTCTGCTCATGGTTGACACTTCATCCTGGCAATTTCACACAATAACTGTAATCACAGCAACACATCACAAGACTGTGAGGCGTAGGGAAACAGGGAGCAAGAGGGCAGTGTAGGGCAGGCAGCTGGGAAAGGATGATTTGTGTTAAACATTTCCATTGAATATTTTTATTGAAAGTTATTCACAGATGTTTCAACCACACAGTATTTTTCAATGTCTTAAATCAAGTGCGCTCGACATGTCTGAAAAGTGGCACGGCTACTACATTATGGTAAAAATCATGATCACATTTATTTTAATCAACATTGAGATCATGATTAATCAATACCTTTGATTCACTGATTTTGGAAACATAATGTTTTTCATTGAACTTTAAAAAACTTCAACTGTAGGTGACTCACTGGTCACAACTCGTACTGTGACAGTAAAGTCTAGTTCACATTACACGATCTTCACCCTGATTTTGCGTCGCGGAGACTATCGTAATCTTTTGAGTGTTCATACCTGGCGACCTGTGTTTCTGTCAGCGGTAGTCTCGCCAACTGTTGTACGACCTGTGTGTGCACACCACAAGATTTCTCCACTGAGCCCTCGCCGACAGAGCCCCAGATAACGCGGTGACGTCACCAAACTTGGGGACGACAAATTGTGAAGGCATGGATATTCTTCCCAGTGTTGAATCAGATCTGCCTCCAGGGCCTTGGTCCAAACACAGTGCACTCCCTGTGATCCTGTGGATGCTGCCAATTTTTGTTGTTGCTTGCCGGCTTGTCAGTGTTGCCAGATCTTGGGAGAGAAACAAGCACCCAGGGCTATGGAAACAAGCCCAAAAGAAGCGACTATCATGCGTTTAAATAACTTATTAGACGGATATAGAGGAAGGCAATGTTTAAAGTAAGCCCAAATAAGCAACTCCACTTTAGTAACAAGCCCAAAGTCACGGCTAATAAGCGGACCTGGCAAGTGGTAACCCTGCGGCTTGTCATCCTCACATTTCTTCCGTCCTCCTGCGTGCTGACGTGGGATGTATCCCGCCTCTCATTGGCTGATGCTCTTTGTCAGTCATGTCACACTTCTCCAGTTTTCTAGCATGCCAGATATCCAGTCCCAGTCACAGACGAGGGGGCAACTTGCTTGTAGGCTTGTTCACACAGGAGGACTCGTTGTGGCAGACTGTCTGCCAACTCACCTCCGACCCAAGGTGGCTCTCAAGATTCTCTGCAACGTCAAAATCGCGGTGAAAATTGTGTAATGTGAACTAGCCTTTAGGTGCTCAAATACTGGCAAATTATCAGCAAGAAAAAAATGAATAAAAATAACACAGATGTCATAATCAAAAATAATTCCCCATCATAAGACTCTCACCTGTTGACAATTCCCTAACTGCAATTTGTTCTCGTTTATACGGGGCATGCACAATGGACTGACTAAAATGCACATGAAGGCACATAGTAGCAGTGCTCAAGCACTTTAACCATATGCTTAAATTTGGTTTTCTTTACAAAGTACAGTAAATGTGAGTGTGGTCGGACATCCATAACACCCTGTAGCATTAGTTATGACTTTGGCGCTGTTGCTCTGCAGCAGTGTTGGGCAAGCTTCTTGGAAAGTGTAGTGAGCTAAGCTACTAGTTACTCTAATATTAAATGAAGCTTCGCTACATCAAAGCTATCACCCTCAGAAATGTAGCAAGCTAAGCTACAGCAAAATGAAAGTAACTAGTGCAGCTACATCCAAGCTTTTTACTAAATTGAACCAACTTCGTGCCAAGTCAGTGTTATCTTACTGATCAATAAAACTGTCAGTCAAACAGATAGGCAGGTAAAAAAGTTAAGTTCAATTGTTTATTGAACAGTGAGCTGCACTAACTCCCAACACGACTCAAACCACAACAGCAAGAATGAAGACCTGCTTCAAACAGTCACAACATGGTCAAAAACGTACATGCGTGTATGTACAGTACAGGCCAAAAGTTTGGACACACCTTCTCATTCAATGCGTTTTCTTTATTTTCATGACTATTTACATTGTAGATTCTCACTGAAGGCATCAAAACTATGAATGAACACATGTGGAGTTATGTACTTAACAAAAAAAGGTGAAATAACTGAAAACATGTTTTATATTCTAGTTTCTTCAAAATAGCCACCCTTTGCTCTGATTACTGCTTTGCACACTCTTGGCATTCTCTCCATGAGCTTCAAGAGGTAGTCACCTGAAATGGTTTTCCAACAGTCTTGAAGGAGTTCCCAGAGGTGTTTAGCACTTGTTGGCCCCTTTGCCTTCACTCTGCGGTCCAGCTCACCCCAAACCATCTGGATTGGGTTCAGGTCCGGTGACTGTGGAGGCCAGGTCATCTGCCGCAGCACTCCATCACTCTCCTTCTTGGTCAAATAGCCCTTACACAGCCTGGAGGTGTGTTTGGGGTCATTGTCCTGTTGAAAAATAAATAAACTATTTACAATGTAAATAGTCATGAAAATAAAGAAAACGCATTGAATGAGAAGGTGTGTCCAAACTTTTGGCCTGTACTGTATGTGTATGTACACTGCAAAAACTCTAGTCAAGAATATTTATTTCTAGTCAAAACAAATGTCATTACAATTGAAATAAGACTCATCACCTAAAAAGTAACTTGTTTTTAGACAATTTTCACTTGTTTCAGGAAGATTTTCACTTGAAATAAGTAGAAGAAGAATCTGTCAATGGAGCAAGTTTTTTTTTCTTATTGCAAGCAAAAAAAAACCTTGCTCCATGGGCAGATTTTCATACTTATTTCAAGTGAAAATTTGCTTGAAACAAGTATTTTTTAAGTGTAAAGAGATTTGTTTTGACTAGAAATGAGGCTAGTAAACACATTTTAGTAAACACATTTATAATGAGCAGCATACACACGTGTTTGCTGCTAGAGAAATTATACATAGGCCTAATAAATGAAGACAGTGACATATTTTCAATAAAAAACAATGAGTTGAACGTTCATTTCAAGCTTTTATAGTACAACGAGTTTCAGAATTGTGCGAGTGCGGACGGAGAGCGGGCGGCAGTGTTTGATGCAGGAAACTCAGTATGGACTTGAAAATCAATTTCGGAGTGGGGTCGTTAGGAACGGCGGTGTTTCGGAATGGAGGGCTGTCTCCCGTCAGGTTCATGCGGAAGTGACTCTGTGTGGTAGCGGTGACAGTTTTATTTCAGTCCATAACAGAAATCCCCACCTCGTTTGAGCTTCAGAAATGATTTTGGAAATGTAGCTTGTGTGGACGCTACCGCGCTAAGTGATCAATAAAAGAGCTTAACTACTGAGAAGTTACTTGATTCAGAAAACAGCGACGCTACCACCAAGCTACCGAGAAATGTAGTTAAACTACAAACGTCCGCTACTGTAGTGACGCTTCTGCCCAACACTGCTCTGCAGTGAGAGGCCTCCTGAATGCTCACAGACTTGCCCTCCAGTGTTATTTTGGGTCTCATTCAGCTAATCGACACATTCAGATAATGGCACAATAAATGAAATCTTAGCGCCATAGTGAGAGCTCCGCCTTGTAACGTAATGAGAGCTCAATAATGCACCTGCATTAATTGGTGGTGGCAGTGGTTTATCTTTAGAAATGAAGTCACTAGAGGGTCTAAAAATAAGTAAGCAACACTGAGCACACCTCTGCAATGGAAAGAGTCATGCTGGATTTATAACACAAGACAAAACAAGAGCATCATTGCGAAACGGAATCTTGTTGTTTTCATAATCATTGGAAGCTGAAATTCTAATTGAAAAATAAAACTGGATTAATCACCCAGCCTTATTAATTGGGTCTATAGAATATTTTAACAGAGCTTATGTGCTGCCGGCCATCCTCTCTGCCCTGACCAGTGCCTAAGTTTTGGTGTACACATCCACGACAAAGCTTATCTCGATCCTTAAAGGAATACTCAGGCTTTTCAGGAGATATGTTTGTTTACTGTCTCAGCCGGGTGCAAATGAGAAGATGGATTTCAGTTTCATCTCTGTTCATTCAGTAGAGAAATTGGCCCGGGATGTGTTCTGCCTAGCTAAGCACAAAGACCTATTCCATTCACAGAAAAATGTATTATTTTCTATATTTTGGTCCCTGAATAGATTGTTGAAAAAGGAGACAATAGACAACACAACGTCCTGTTTAAGCCAAAGTATATCTCCCAATTTCATACACCCAATCCACAAATATGAGATCCAAAAAAAACAAAAACAAAACCTAATGTGGCTTGTGCAGCATTTAATTTTCAGACGTGCCTGGCTCATCATGTAATCACAGTATCTGCAATATAGAATATACAGTATAAGGGCTTGTGTGTAAGGCAGCCAAGTTTTTGTGTTTGCCCTCAGATGATCTACGACAGTCTAACTCCGAGTTTTGTGTTATTGAAGCTTAAGGATGGACATTTGTAAGACTTTATTGATACAAATACCATTATGGATTCTGCTCATTGGTCTGATTCTTTAGCGATTCCCTTACTGATTCCTGATGAATTCTCTGTGTGAAAAAAGCAGGATTACACAGGTTTTCAGCATCAATGCAACAGTTTTATTATCTCAGAGTGTGAACACATGCAGTATAGAAACAGAGCAGAAGAAAAGGCATTATAATTTTACAGCAAGGACATTACAAGCAGCACTGATGTCATCTTTTTTTGTGAAATGAAGCCACGCTTTAGATGCTTTCTTCTACTCCGCCATGACTTCTTCTTGTTGCAAGTGTCCGACAGCATAGACCCATACTAACTAAAACTAAAATCAAGATAATAAATGGTCATTTAAAATCAGTGAGATAGCAATAAAATAGACAGACAGCTCAGATAAAGGGTCTGTCCCAATACTTTCACTTCCCCTCGGAATTGGCCCTGCATGTGGATTGTAAGCGCTGACTTAGAATATGAGCGCTTGAAAATCACTAATTCATGATATCTACAGAGTTCTCGGTGAAGCTATTAATACTGAAGCCTACATCGCTGATACGTGTAACGTAGGTGAACACGTCTGTTGCGCTAATTTGCATGAAGTGGCGTCCCAGTTTGTAGGTAAAATCCCCTACCCCTCAACACTACCCCTTCGTCGTTGAAGGGAATCTATCTGGCAAATGCTCTTGAAACCAAGGGGTAAGGTTAAGGGAAGAGAATTGGGATTGGCCCAAAGTCAGGATATGCTTTTGTTCTTTTTTTTTTTTTTTAAGATATTTGTTTTTTTTTAAGCCTTTAATGTATAGGACAGACAAGCGTGAAGGGGGAGAGAGAGAGGGAGTGACATGCAGCAAAGGGCCACAGGCTGGAGTCGAACCCGGAGTGCTGCGGCAACAGCCTTGTACATGGGGCGCCTGCTCTACCACTAAGCCACCGACGCCCCAGGATATGCTTTCTGATAGAAGTATGTTTTTAGGAGAGACTTAAAAGGAGCCAGTGACTATAACGGCCTTATATCCTCAGGCAGGTCATTCCAGAGCCTCGGGGCCCCAGTGGCAAAAGCTCTGTCCCCTTTGGTCTTCAGCTTGGACACTGGGACTGAGGATCTCAAACTATGTAAAGGTTCACAAGGGACTAACAGGTCTGAAATGTAATCTGGAGCTAGCTCAAAGGAAAATATTCCAATGGATATGACGATTTAAAACCGGTTCTCAAATCCCATCACTGAAGACAAATGATTTGACGTTCCAGAAGATGTTCTCAAAATTGGGTTTATGCCTCATTTTGTCCCTGTGCCGCCATGGTCCATGAGCCGAAGGTGTGCAGTGTCCTCTGTCTCGTTTAATTTAGGAGAATTATGTCCCCGTACATCACAGAGGACTGCATCAGTAAATCAAATGTCAGCCAGGCCAGCTGAATTCCGGCCGCACTGATGCATCTAATAAAAGTTTAGTGGCCGTGGGCACATTTCGACTTGCATATTCAAGTAAATAATTACACTCTGCAGCCCCGCTAATGGCCCTTCATTCCCTTGATACGGAACAGGAGGATGTTTTACATCTGTATTAAAGCAAAACCCTTTTTCATTGAACTCGTGTTTGTCCCTACACATCCTAAACCTGCAAACACAAGAGCCAAGACTCAAATCTATGATACTACTTTCCAGCTCTTTATGGGGCTCCTGTCTTTGTAGTGTCTATGAGGATGACTTTGAGAGCACTGTGACACTACTTAGCCAGATTTTCTAGGGTTACGGCTGCATTATACAGCTCGGAAACTTAAGCACTTATAAGATAATAAAACTACATTAGTGTATACAACTTAGACACTCCAGATCACAAAGTCAGTGTGCCCTGTGTTCTAATGGAGCTGCTGCTTAAAGTCTGGCTCGCTGGCATCATTATTCTTCACTTTAGAGTTGTTTACTCTGGTATCGTCCGAGCTGTCACACATCATTAAACTCAGTCTGTCCTTAAATTGCCTGGTTTTACCTATTTGATTTAACAATACCAGTGTTAGCTAAGCATATATTTTTTTCCCCCCACAGAATATCTTCAATAACCACATGCTGGATGTGAACGTCAGGTGGTTGGCTGTGCTGTACTTCAAAAATGGCATTGACAGATACTGGAGGAGAGTAGCGCCTCAGTAAGTGCTTGTTCATCTCTCATGTTCCCTATTTCTGTCAGCCCCTCTCACACTTTTCAATCTTAGGCTTTTTTTTCCTCTCTCTCCTACTCCTCATTTTTATTCTCTTCATTCTCTCATTCACTCTCACTCTGTCTCTATTCATCACTCTTAATCTTTCCCCCTGTTTTTGAGGCTTTGTTGCTCTCCTCAGATCTTTTTTGTCACAGATTTGTCGTTGCATTTTTGTCCCCATTCCTCATCACCTTCATTTCCCTCATTGTCTTTTACCAGTTATAGCTTACGTCTGCAGTTCTGCCTCCACCACTTTTCACAGCTTCCCTCCTTTCTCTCTCTTTTTTGCTTTACTTTCCATGCCGATTATTCATATCATTGTGCTCTGATTTTATACTTGGTTTATTCCTTTGTGCTTCTTTTGTCTGCTGGTAGATCGGCTTTGAGTATTCAAAGCCCATGGTCTGTCTTTGGGTACCTGACTAGCTGGCTTTTGTTCGATTTGAATTGCTCTTAAATTCTCAGGACAGCAGTTGGCCGGAGGTAATCAGTTCTGCCTCAGCACTCTGTCGCTACTCTTTGACCACTTCAAATTACTGCTAGTCTCTTCTTTCTTTCTGAAGTTTTCCCCTAAAGTTTTTTCCCCCCACTCTTGTCAGTACTGTACTTCAGTAAACTGAATTCCATTTGTTAGAGTGCTGCGCAAGGGCTTCTGCTCCATGGGTTATTTGTGTCATTACTTTTTGGACCTTTGCCATTAATCCAGCAGTTGGAGACTACATGGGATCATGTGCTGTCACTGTACAAAGCCTGGGCCACATTACATAATATTTGTAGTCTGTAAGAAAACCATTCTAAAAATATTCTTAAAGCCATTAGAAATGGATGATTCTTGGGTCTGTTTTGATATTGTGCTTTTCTGTCTTATCAGTTGTAGATGATATTGTGTCTTAAGATGTTCCTAGTGCGGGTACAATTTAATAAGTTACTTGATCAATGGAGCATCACTGGGTAATGAGGTTTTTTTGCATCATTCCCTTAATAAGAAAGACTCGGGGACTCGGTTCGATTGGGTGGGGAATGCTGAAAAATGTCACACCTTCATTTGGTTTGGTTCACTTTCACACTGCACTTTTTAAAGTGGACCAAGCGGCCTGGACAACATCACGCAGTTACAACTTGTTTGGAGGCATTATTGCCTGAAATGACCGCTGACCAGGAAGAAAAAAAGCATGAGGAAGAAGAAAACCCAGCTCATTGATTGGCCGGCTTGGTCACCACAAAAACACCAAACACCAAAATGCACTGCGCTTTACGTCACTTCGTCTCTTGGTTCATTTCCACACCAGGGTTCACTTGCAAGTGAACTGAGACCCCCAGGTTTCAAGCGGACCAGGGTTGGCTCGCTTGGTCCGCACCAGAGTTCGAATGAGCGTTCACACCACTCCAAACAAACCAAACTGTGCATGGAAGCAGACCAAATAGCACCAGTGTGAATGCGCCCTTATTCTACAGCAGGAAACAGCACTTCAAAATAAGCGTTCTGTGCTGGAAATTCACTGTACTTCAAAATTTTTACAAACTCGACACATTTCCGAGTCACTTGTGGTCCATTCAGAATAGACCCACCACCCACCAGTTGGGAACCACTGTTTTAAACAATGGCTGTATTCCATAACAGTTTGCCTGTTCTACAACTTTGATATTGTACGTGCCAGCTCACCGGCACGGCTTAATTGGACACTTAAGTGTAATGGCGCCATCATTAATGGCATTAGTTTCACCTGTGCTTTATCTGCTGTGAAAAGGTCAACTGCTTTTTCATAACTTTGAAAATCTCCCTCTTATGACTTTTTTTATTAACACAGCTTTTCAGCTTTTACTTTAATTTGTGAGATATCCCTATGGGAAGTAGAAAATAAGCACAAAAATGTCTCTCTTATTCTTTAAGGTCTTCCACATATGAAATGTGTTCTTGTTTAAAAATATTTTACAGCACAGGTGGTTAAACTGACAGATATTGTGACACACCCAAAATTAAGTCGGGCCGAATGGGAGGTGATACACGAGAAATCATGTTTCATAATGCAAGCGCTGATTGATCTCAAATTTGGTGTGACAAATGAAGCAATTTCAAGAGTGTTCCCTCTAGCTCATGTGTGCCGAGTGCAGAGACTGTTGAGAGATGTGTGCACATTGAGTGTCAGGCATTTGAAATTATTCTTGCCAGGTTTGGAAACAGACCTCATGTTTTCAGTCTCCCTTTCTGGTAAAAAAAAAGAAGAAGTGATGCTTCGGATGAGTAAGTGACATCACCTCGGGCCTCCCTGCCCAGTGATCTGAATCACTGAATTTAACTGAGCAGCCTTAATGTTATCACTATATTTGGTGGCTTTTCCACCTACTTGTATAATTCAAGGTATTTTAGAAGTGGTGTTAAATCACAGTAATTCGTCAAAGTAGTAGTTTTTAACTCATCACACACTGATGAAATATTACAGAGTAATGCGTAGCTCTCTGCAACTGCTGTCTCTTGGGTAAATGGATTGCTTGTAGAGGCAGAGAGGAGATTTCTGGCATAACTTCACGTACTTCAAGATGCACATACATGGGAAAACATCAGAAGAGATCAAAACTCAAAAATAACAACTTCATTGTCAGACCAGATCGGGATCATCGTGATGATGACCACAAGCCGAAACACACTGGTTCTGTATACTGCAGGTGAACCTGATTAGACCGTTAGCACCAGAATTAAACAGACACATTTTTTTTCTGTTTGTGTTGGGATGATTAATTGTTGTGCCACATTAATATAACAAATGAATATTTTTCTGCTGCATTAACTTTTCAGCCCAGAGAGGCACATACGTTTCTGCCAGTTTAAAAATACAATTATTAAAACTGACATTTTTGAAAGTCACAGGTCAAGTTATTATAATAATATAAATTGTGCACCAGCAATCAGGTGTAACTCGAAGCAGTTTCTGTTTGCAGTCAGACAGTTGTCAGATATCTCAATTATGGCAGAGGGCGGTTCTGCAGTGTCAGATTTTGAGAATCCCTAATCTAAGGCAACCAGAACAATTGCCCTGCAACTGAGAAGATGTTTATGAAAGTTATGATTGGGAGAACGATTTCCAAATTTATATTAGGTATGTTCATTTTGGCTTATGTGAGGAATTTCCCCAACACTGTCAGCCCTTAGTTTGACTTTTGAATGTTGTTTATGTGTCATGAATACAAACATGCCCAGCCCACACAGGCTTACGAGACACCACAGGTTAATTTAAGTCCAGAATGCATACATTTGCATAACTCTTTAAAAAATGCTGACAAGCATACGCGTTCCTGTTTGCTGAGATGCTTTTTCCTTGGAAGGGTTTTTAAACACTTTGCAAAGCATTGCTTAGAATGGCCTGAAAAAAAGATATGAACATAACAGAGTGAAACCAAAATGTATCCTACAAAAGTAATGTGCTTGTTGAATTAAATACGCAAAGCAATTTACTGCAGGAAATATTCACTAAAACTGGCACTACCTGCTAGGGATGTCCCGATCCAGCTTTTTCCACTTCCAATCTGATACCGATATTACAGCCTTGAGTTCTGGCTGATACCGATACTCATCCGATCCAAGCACGTATTATACATATTCACTTATTTTGTTGTCAGTCATGTTAGAAAAGGTTTGATCAAGCGATATTACTCTAACAAGAAGAACTACTTAATCGGGTTAGTTAGAATGATCCACAACAGTTGGTATGAGAAACTGACCTGTTTATTGTTAACAGGGTTAAATAAACAAACTTTAAACTTGAACATTAACATTAAATAAAAAATATAGCTGGTTTGCTTTGGCTGCTTTGGCCCCTTAATAAATAGAAAATGAATCAACACAAGAAATCTTTAAAATGTCTAACAATGAAATTAAAATAGCAGCAAGACTCCACACGCTTGTGCTTTGGCCCCCTAATAAATAAAAAAATAGATTAACACCACAAGACATTGACATTTAACAAACAATGCAGCCTTTCCTTTTCAGTTATTTTAGTAGTGTCAGTGCCAGCCTGGTGCTGCTGTTTCCTGGGACCAACAGAGGGGACAAAAAACCACACACAATATTGTACAACTGTTTAAACAAGCAATAGTCCATCCATGGCTCCAGTTTCACTAATTGTGCCCAAAACAATGACATCAGTGCTCTTTGCTTAAACAGTAAGAGTGTAAACCCAAAAATATCATTTTAAAAAAACCAGAGCAGAAAACAAATAGTCAGTTAACTAAATTGACCACTACTCTTCCTACCCTCCATGTGTACCTGCCATCTGCATGCTGGCCTGGTGAAATGATAGTAAGAGCTGGAGCGGATCACTGGAATGGACTGCTTGAATCGCGGAGCGCTGGGCTGGCCAGAAAACCTGGATCGGATTCCGTGAAAAACTGGATCGGAGTTCTTGAATCGGCATTTTTCCATGCAGTCCGATCCGATGCCGATGCACGTTTTTTGCTAATATCGGCAGCCGATACCGATCTGAATATCGGATCGGGACATCCCTACTACCTGCTGTGTGAATGGCTAAATATTTCCAAACTTTGGTCCAAAAACAACTCATCAGAACAAGCAGAAGTGGAAAATCAAAGGCCCAATAAGGTGTTGGATACTGAGCTTGATACTTTTATGGTTACTGACTGCATTTTGTTGGTACTACTAAGAACAAATTAAGTGTGCTTTCACACCTGCCCTGTTTGGTTCTGTTCAATAGAAGTCAAGTTCGTTTGCCCCCTAAGTGCAAGTGCAATTGGGTGAAAACCAAAACAACCGGACCGAGACCTTCTTTAAGAGGTGATCCCGGTCCAGTTACAAATAAACTCTGATGCGGTTCGTTTGTGATGAGAACGTGTTCCAACCTCCATCTGAACCAGCTGCAGTCACATGACACATTGTTTAAGGTTAAACATGAGCATGTTACAGTCCTGGCTTTTTTTATTTCTTTAAACCAATCACAATCATTCTTGGCAGTGCCAGCAACGGTGCGCTTGCAAAAATATTGCCGGGGGGAAACAAGTTTTGGTGTAACACACCCACAAAAATATCGCCTACAGGACGCAAACTATGGCAGAAATATGGCTACATCCCTGCAAGATCAAACACTGCAAAAGTTAGTAAAGGACGTGTTGAAAACTGCTACACAACTGGAGGTGGTAGGGCGGGACTTCAGCAGGTGGCTAGTTCCGCCCAATGAGAGGCTGATCTATGCAGCGAACTTCCGCCCACTCAGACTAGTACTGCTTTAATATGCACATTCAGCACATCCAATGCATCAAAACCTTGTTTTCTAGTTGGAGCCGCGCCTCGTTTTCAAACTGTATGGTTTGACTAAAATGAACAATGACAGCAATATAGTCCACGATGACCAGCACTAAAATCAAACCGCGTAGTTGTCCCTCCACTGTGACATCAGAAAGTGTCACATTTATCTGTACTCTTCTTCAACGTTTTGTTTACTTCCTGGATTTTTCCTGCATGGAAATTCTGACCAATCAAGAGCAGCTTTCTCGCGCAAGGCATTTTATCTGGTCCGCTTGTAAATGCTGACGTGAGAACACGAACCAACTGTAGGCAACTATGCAACTTTGTAACAAAATGAGCAAGACAACTCTAGGTCTGAAAGCACCCTCACAATAAATCCATCGTCTGTACCTGAGCGCACTTCTTGATGAGAACACACGTGTTTAGATGGAACTGCCAAAGCTGAGAAGCAGGCCATGAAGCTCTGTGACTGTGTTTTAGTTTACTATGTTACCCCTGCAGGTTGGTCTAAAATGAAACTTGTTATTGCAGAGAAAGTAAAGTGACAAAAAAAAAGGTACTGATACTGGATATGAGGTACCAGAACTGGTGCCAGTATCAGTTTAAATGTAAACGGCACCCAACCCTTGGCAGGAGCAACTTGATTGAGAGATTTAGTGTACGGAGATCCTCATCTTAGCTACGTACAGTAACGATAGAGTTGTTTTCAGAACAGATCTGATTTGTTATATTGTTTTTTGACAACTGAAAAAAAATGCTCAAGCAGATAAACTTTATTTAGGTAATGAAATAATATTTAGACAAGCTACACTGAATTAACTATATTGCTGTGCATATGTATTGTAAGTTTAAATTGTATCCTTACTAACACATTATGTAGCTGAACTGAAATAAGACAGTAGCCAGAAAATGTAAGTGTTGGTGTTTTACATCTCTTATGTCAGGATGACTTTACTCAGTGAATAATCTTTGTGCCTTTCTTGATTTTCCTTTTTACCCATCGCTCAGATTTTCTGGTTTCTTTTGCCTACAAACACAAAACAAGGCTCAGTCACACACTTGCTTATGTTAATATATATTTTAATCTCCCATCCCATATTTCTTTAAAGCTTGCCTCGCTCCCAGATTCTCAAAATATGTGTGTTGTAAATCTTGTTTCAGTAATTTACACTCTTTCCCCGTAGTAATTTGTCTTCCACCCATACCTCCTCTCTCTCAGCCTCAGGTTACAGCGTGAGTCATTCCTCACTCTTCCTCACATCAAACACTCTCTCCCACAGCGTCGAGCTCCAGCAGCAGTTGAAGTAGTTAGAACAGGCTAAATTATAGTAAAAATTGTTTGTTTTTTACAGATTGACACTGTCACTCTTTTGCACACTCCCCCTACTCTGCGTGCAAAACCTCAGGCTCATGTTGCAGTCTACAAGAAATGAGTTGGAGGAGAGGAGGGGGTTTATCCAAAGCTTACTGATTAAATCAGGCAGCTGGCAGGTCCTGCACTGGTGTTATAAAGGGATTTAATTGATCCCATAACAACTTGGCAGATTGATGTCATATTCATATCCTCCCCATATTAAAGTTTGAGGTTTGCATGTCCAGAATTTAAAATGAAATTATGAGGAGTCTCTTAGGATAAGAGCTGCATTCAACAATGCCAGGATGACTGGCACGCTCTCGTCACAATGTGACATGGTGGCTCAGTCGTGAGCCCTCTCGTCTTTAAGCGAAAGGGTTCAAAACTTGGCCCTGTGTTTTTGCACATGTCTTCCCACATCCTGAAAACTGTAAATCCATTTAATAAAGCTGCTGTAAGTGGTGCATGACTAAAGAAACAGCTAACTAGTCAAACAGGTAATGCTTGAGAGTGTGTTTTCCTGATCTCCAGGTTGACATAGCTATCAGGAGGTGTCATTTTTGCTAACCACAAACATTAAAATATATGTGCATTGTACTCTTTTGTGATGATTTTGTCCAGATATTGTGTTACTCTTGCTCTGCTCCATTCTTTCTCGACCCACTTACCTCTTCTCATCGTCTTTCTGGTTGGTTTGTTCACAGTGCCTTATCAGAAGAGGAGAAGACATCATTGCGTGCTGGTCTCATCACAAACTTCAATGAGCCTGTCAATCAGGTAAGTGAGAAAAAAATGGGACGTGATACGAAACATTAAAGTTAAAAACGAAGATTCAGCATCATAAACTGGTACAAAGAAACTCCCGCATTTTGATTAAGATTTTCTTAGCGTATAATGTACAAAGAATCTCACTTAGAGCATCATACCACCTTTGTTACAGCCCATTTCACTTATAATTACATTTTTTTGCTATGTTGTTTTGAAATAAATGCAGGATGGTTTGAAAATATAAATGTAGAAGTTCTAAATTAGCTTGAAATGGGTTATCCATTGGGCTGTAGGAAGGAGAGTAGTTACGGCAGTGTATATATGCATAGTACCTCACCTCTTCAAACAGCCTAGCTTCCATCAAACATCAGTGAGAGAGGGACTTGGGTGTATCCCTGACCTCAGCCCGGTGGGAGCCTGTCCCAAGAGACACAACAATGGTATCCAAATGTGCTCGATACAAAATTTGACAAATAAAAGTGGTGCATAGGGCGTATATTACTCCCTTTTACATTTATGCTTGCATAGCTGTGGTGAGGCAGGATCACTCATGCATCAGTGGTGGCATTGCCCCCCAGTGAGATGTTTTTGGGACAAGGTGATATTGAGCTTGTCTTCTATCCTGGATGTAAAAATATTTCGGTGTCCTTTGGTCTGCCTCTTCGGCACAATGATAGAAAATATACAGTTGAAGCTTATACACTGCATTATCGCACTAGCTTTTATGTCAGTTAAACATATCATTATGATGAATTGGAAATCACACAAATCAAGGTGTTTTAATATAGATAAGTGGTTAAAAGACCGTGGAGATGAATAACCCTGGATTATTATAAGATCTTATCCAGGGAAAATGGCTCATGAATGACCTTTATTGTATTTATTCTGCACCCCTCCTTCCCCGACATCAGTTATGATTTGTTTGATTTTGTATTTGTGTATGGTGTTGTTACTGTGTTATTGTTCAATAGTATGTACGCTGTATGTAGTATGTCAATGTATTGTCCTCTGATGTATGTCAATTCAAAACTAAAACAAAAAAACGGTATTAGTAAAACAAAAAAGTTCCATCAGATTTTTTTCCGACTCATGTAATCCAAACGTGTCCACTAACTCCAGAGTGCTGTAATGTCCAAAAGTCAGAAATGTATTCAAAAAGATAGATGTAATTGTTTCCATAATTCACAACATGTTTTTACCTAAAATATATTATACTTTAGTCAATATTTGTTGGCATTTAGCCTTTCAATAATTTTCACTGCAGTAACAAAACTCTTTGGTCTCCCGCTTGCCACACACGAAGGGAGGCACGCACCTGTATTAATGGGGCAATCAAGCAGTAATCTAGGAATGCCATAAATTACATTTTTCATTAAAGAAAGTTAATTTGATAAGAAAAGATGAATTCGTTTAATCAGGTGAATCATATTATTTAAATAGATGATTTCATCAACATTTGAAGCTTCGTTCAGAGACCTCCGAGAAGATTTGAATGTTAACAAAATTAAATTGGGTACAGCCCTAGTTATCCATCATGATGAACACTAGCTCTGCAATCACTGCTATCAAAGATTAATTTGTTTTGACAAGTGGATTTTATATATTTTGCTTAAAATCCCAATTTTGCCTCAGAGGTCTGTAAAACTTGGAACAGCATGTACATGTCCTCCCCACTGTAATGATACCTGCATTGGTGTCAAACTGTGGCATATAGGTGATTGTTTCTATTTATAATTTGGTCAAATCTGAAAAAATACTTTCTGCATTGCCTCCTTGTGCAATCAAGGTATGAAGTATGAGGTGCGGGGAAAAGACTTTGGAGTTTTTGTTATCATAGAGGAAGTGGTTTGAAGGCAGGTGTATTTTCACCACTTGTTGTGGTTGTGTGTTGTGATTTTTCTTCTCTGTATATAGATTCAGTCAGATCTCACCAGCTGCTCTATCCAAACAAACAGATCTCAACATAGACAAAGACAGAAATTCACAGGTTTTATTCTAGTCTATATGAAATGAAAATGTAGGGACGGAGGTAAAACTTTAATTTAAACGTGCTGTAAGTGTACTTTTTTTTAACAACTGGTGATATCAATGCCTGTTCACTAAACATGGCCAACTCGCCTACATTTATTTCCTGAAATGCGAGTATTTGAGTACTTTAGGATAATTTATTGGGTGTTCTCAAACTTGTAAACTACTTTAAATGTCTGTCCCTGTCCCAAAAGTTTTTGATAAGCCATCATTTTACACTTCTTGGGGAAAATCTGCAACAAACAAATAATTCAGAATCAAGCTGTGTGTAATACATCTGTCTGAGGGGACATGGAAGGTGCCACCAAATGTTGGCCATCCATCCTGCTTCCTACAGCTTGTGTATCCCTGAGGGACGGCCCTGAAACATCAGGACTGATAAGGTCCATATGGCGAGCAATGAATGCTATTTAAACACCATATGTCTCCCTCGTCACAGTCTATCAGATCAACCGGGTTGTGCATGTGAGTGTGGGTGTTCGAGCGCTGTGTGGACAGTTCACATTTATAAGCTCTATGATCCAAGCACATTTTGTGATCTTACCTGGCTTTGGAAAACTTAATGACTTATTGATACTTGAAAATTAAATTTACATGCTCACTAATTATTTATTACTCCGTTAAATTACATTGCTAATGGCATATAGGTGTGTTTATCAGAGCGTGCATGCTATAGACAATGCAATAAACTCTCATTCTTTTATTTGTATCTGATTGTAGGTTGTGCTGTAAAACAGTAATGGGGATCAAAAGAGCTAAAAGTGAACAGGCTTTAAACTTTGTAATAAAATGGGCTAGATTAATAGATTTGTGATTCAAAAATAAAACAGCCCTCATAGGAGATAATCGGTCAGCTGAAGATGTCGTAGACTTTAACGTACTGTTATAAAACAGTCTGTTGATTTTATTTACAAATTACCTCTGGGATTTATAGGGTTGTAACGGCACCATCAAATTTTGTCTGCCATTATTGATAAATAAATTTGGTGAACAAGAGCTTTTCAGCATATCGCAGTACAGTTTATCGCTGCAAAAATACAGCCTCCAAAATCAACACCTGTAGAACAGTCTCAACAAAAAACAAACTTTATCACCTTCGTAAAGGTCAGATTTATTGCAGGGCCGTTGTATTAGAATTGATTAGTTTTAGCTGAGTGTACTTAATAAACTGGAAACTTAGTGTGTATCTGTTGTTCCCACCAAGCACCTCTAACATGTGGATACAAATGAACTTTACCTGCTCATTTAACTCGCTTTTTAATGGTATTATTATTTTAAACGATATGTGTGAAAAGTGTGAAAAATTAAAGGAATACCTCACCCACAAAAATTAATTTGTCATGCCATGTTACCTTGAATTTTCATGTATGTTTCTTGTATGAAAACGGCAAACTTATTGATTTATTTATTGATAGGGAACCATATTTAACAACAGCAAAGCTATATCAAAATTAGAGTTGTACCGATACCGATACCAGTATCGGAAATGCCTCCGATACTGCCTGAAATGCAGTATCGGGTATCGGCGAGTACAGCCGGAGAGGGGGGATGACATGCAGCAAAGGGCCACAGGCTGGATTCGAACCCGGGCCGCTGCGGTGACAGCCTTGTGCATGGGGCGCCTGCTCTACCATTAAGCCACCGACGCCCAATACCTTACATTCTTAAATCAGCCAGTGGTGAATTGATAAACTGAATCTCAGGTGACACTATGAGCCATCTTGAGTCAAGCTGAGTTTTAGGAGTTGAGACATACAACAATTCATATCCCATCCATTTTTATTTTATGCACTGGTATTGGATCGGTACTCGGTATCGGCAGATAACTAAGGTTCAGGGATCGGGATCGGAATTGGTATCGGGAAGGAAAAAGTGGTATCGGTACATCTCTAATCAAAATATCCATTTACAAACTCTCACACAACTCATGCAGTAGAATCCAAGTCCAACTTATCCAGTTGTATGCTCAGTACTTCCCAAACACATGCATTTTCACCCAAACCTCAGTATTTAAAACTGAACCAAAAGCGAAACTTGTATATGCTGTCTTCAAAGTCAGACTCCAATACTAAGTTTTTAGTGAGAATGAATGTGTTTAGGAAGTACTGAGCATACGACAAGTTTGTGAAGTGATGTTTTGATATTGTTTTGCTGTTGTTAAAGTGGTCCCCAATAAATCAATTAATCAATAGTATCTTGGCAGGATGTATAAAACGCAGCTGTCAACTCATTGTCAGCATATGCTAGATCTGAAAAAAAGTCAGCTACAAGTGCTCTGTTTTGAAAAGCAGTTTACTCTGTATGATCTCTAAGAGGAGATAGATATAGGATAGTATGCAAATAGTTTTGTATATAATATGATAGCTTAATAATTTGTGTCCCACGTGTCCAAACTGCTCATTTAAAAGCACACCTGGAGACATTTTACTATATTAAGTGATCCAGACTGTCTGAGCTGTAGCAAAATTCTTGTCGAGTTTCCTTCGGCAAAACCACCTTCTGCTGTGTTTATGTTTTGCCTCCGGTAATTTATTTTCTCTCTCTGTTTTTCCCACAGATAGCGACCCAGATTGCAGTGCTGATAGCCAAGGTGGCCCGTCTGGACTGCCCCAGGCAGTGGCCAGAGCTCATCCCCATTCTACTGGAGTCTGTGAAGGGTCAGGATGGCCTGCAGCAGCACAGAGCACTGCTAACCTTCTATCATGTCACCAAAACCCTCGCGTCCAAACGTCTGGCGCAGGACCGACGGCTTTTCCAGGATGTAAGTCCACAGTTTTAGCTATTTGTCAGTTTACAACCTTATTTTTGGATCTCATTGCTTGTCATTCTTGGTTATTTGCTATCCCTCTGTGGGGTTTTGTCCTCTGCACTCCTCTGCAGTAGCTGTGGGCACCTGAGGACAAGGTGACTTTAGGTCAACAAGTGAAGAAAAATGAAACTTTAACTCTGTCTAGTGAGCTTTTCTGCTTCTATCCCCCTTTTTTCTTTCCTTGTGTTCTGCCCTCTGACTTTGTCATGTTCCTTTCTTTCCTCCCCTTTTGAGAATGAACAGATGAGGAGGGAGATTATCTTGAGAATTGCAGGTGTTTCCAGTTTCACTCACTGCCTGTAGGAGATGCTGTTTAGCTGCTGTTTGAGACGCATCAAATTCATGGCAGCCATAGATTGTCTGTGCATGCATGTGTGTCTGTCTTCATGCATGACTGGAGTGAGATTGACGTGTTTGGGAATAGGTTTGTCTGTGTTGCTAGTTTTGTGTGTGTAAGAGAGATTGTGTTGTTTGTGTGAGTTAATGTTTCCTTCAAAGGGGTGGTGAATCAGAGCAAATGCTCTTTTTTGCCATCCGTGGTTTTAAAGAACACAAGACTTGAGATGAAAGGTAGTCATGAAGAAAAAGGGGTTTAGGGGAGTAAGATATCAAACAGACCAACAGAGAGACGACTAAGACCAGCTGAGAGAGAATGAGAGTGACAGACACAGACCAGCGGACATCAGAGGCAGCGACTGAGACCAAATAGTTGGACGTCGTGCAGAGGCATCCTCTATGCCAAAATGTGTGCCCTTAGGCAATACGAGGAACAAAGGCAGTCTGAGCCCCATTAAACGCTGCGGTTTTTAAATGATGCACTGATGACTTTGACTCTAAATGGCCCATGGAATGCTCGCTCTGGACTGGCTCGGCAGACAGTGTGTGTGCCCACCACGTATTGTGCAGAGGTGACGAGACAAAGGACAATGCAACACTGTTAATTTCAGTTCCAATGGCACCCTTCGACCCTGGAGTCTAAGTATTTTTTAATGTGAGGTCTGATTTGAACATAAAATGACCTCAGCTTTTGTAGCTGTACGAATATTTCATGTTGGTTATTTGTAGACACTGCCTCATCTGTTAATACTGTTGACTTGTAGAAGGCCTCTGTTCACTTGATCTGGGTGTTGTTTAAAAAATCTTGATAGTTGTAGGGCTGCCCCCTGAAAGTCAAAGATCTGAATCATCAGTCGGGGAGATCCCTCAGTCGACTGACTCTACAAATCGAGCTGTTTTTTTTTTTTTTTTCTGGGGATGTGTCAGCCCCCAGATTTAGCTGTAAAGTGACGTGCTGCTATCAGGTGCAGGCAGCTGTGGACCCAGACCCAGGGAGACTCTGAGTGAGACGGAGGCAGCTATCGGGAGGAAGAGAAGCTTTGTCTGGTCAGGCTCTGAGATGATGATATCTTCTGCTTTCTGCTTAGAAACGCTGAATTTACTGCTCACTACAACTTAATACGACACAGTTTGGCTTTTGTTTGATACTTAGTGTGGGCAAAATGTCACATAATTTCGATCCGTCGTCAGCGTACTTAGCATGCTGGCTTGATTGTTATATTACGAGAATGTCACTGTCAACCTGATGTTCCGCTGAACCCTGTTCAAACTCTGAAACTCTGTAAGGAAAAAAAGAAATAGATAGTCGAATACTCGTATTGAACAGCCTAATCCAATGTGACTGCCATAATTCTGAGTTGGGTGCCACCCTTCATACCTGTACCAATACCAGTACCCTTACAGTGATACCGATATCATTAGAGTACTTCATTTGATACCTGCAGGTATCATTTGACTGTAGAAGTTTTTATACTACTTGGCAGTCGATCAGTCACCTTAAAGATGTCAAGTATCTCTTCATCTCTAAGCTCGCTGTTACTCTCTGTGTTTACACTGTTTTTTGTGTCACCCTATTTAGCACGGACGTTATGTGTACATAAGTACTGTTACGTGTCTGTGGGTGTTCGAGCGTGTCTTCTTGTGCTCGATGAGTGTGTGCACTTCTCTCTAGTCCTTCGCCCCAGCTAAAACAGTTGGTCGACCATGTTGACTGCATCATGGGAGATGAGGCACTGACGGCAGCACATCAACTAGCTCTTTGTTTCTCTGGCCCACTTGCCGAGGCTTAGGCTGTGAACTCAAAGCGTGCACCAGACGCAGAGCTAAACAGATAGTGGGAGAAAGAGGGAAAGAAGGGATGATAAAGAAGCGGGGTGTGGGTGTGTGGGAGAGGAAGTGATTGAAGTAACCAAGGGCTGCCTGGTGACAGGAGGAGGGATCACATAAGAAGTAGTTATGGGGTAATGAAGTAAATGGTGTAAAGATAAAGTTGAGGCTGTTTCAAGGAGAAGGAGAATGGAATTGGGACACTTCAAGAAGTGTTTTCTGCCTCCCCACTTTTAGAAGTGTGCATTAATAAAAGTATGGATGTTTAGAAAGAATAGGAGAAAGTTTGGAGGGAACTGGGTAAAGAAGAAATGCTCAGTGCCTGCTGCCTTTATCTGTAAAAAATTAAAATATTGGATAGAAAAGTCAAATTGAAAAAGAGTCACAACAGTTTTCTTTTACTTTGAAAATATGATGAAAACATGAGGAGTAAGCAAGGACTAAAACATATTTTTAAAAAACATTAATCGTGAAAATTGATCCATAACCAGGCACCAGAAATACTTAGTACTTGAGAAAAGCTTCACATTACCAAACAGGCCATGCGTGAACGGCAGTATCGCATAATGCAGTTGTTGTACAATTGAAAATTATATTATTGAGTAATAGACTCTTGTTGCCACCAAACAGGATGATAGTAGAGTCTCAATTGTACAGTTTAACTGTGGATGATATTGCCTCGAGCATTAGCATGGAAGACAAGACGACATATCAAAATGAATTTGAAAGTCAGGGACATGCATATCAAAGTGGATCTCAGCACAGGGTGAGTCAAACCTCATCCCAGCAGGCTGGTTGATATGAGATGCTGTCATTCATCCAGTGCATATATGGTATATCTGGCGTTTCCCAGAGGCCAGTGGCAGCCAGGTGCATGGCAATATGCAAACAATCACTTTACTTTACTAACTTTACCAACACAAAAACACACTTTAAATCACATTGAGAGAGATCCAGCAATAGAATATGTATTTTTCTGAAACCAGAATAATATCAATACTTTCACAAACACTCACAATCTTCAAAAATGTTTGTGCCTTTGACTTGATTTTATTTTTGCCCTCAGAATGTTATATTTATCTCTTGGCGCAGCAGTTGTGTTTATGAATCATCAACCCAGACCTCCAAGTTTTTTTTCTGTTCTCCTTACTCCCATATAAAATATGTGGCGTACATGAGACGGCATTCTTTCAACAAAGTTTTTGCCGAATGTTTTCTCTAAAAAAAAAAAAAGGCGATACTTAATTAAATGCAAATAGCCTTTATTATAAAAAAAAGAATTAAGAGAAATTAAAAAAAAGTTTCACGGGAACATTTTAGCTCACATTAATGGGATCCTCAATTCATTTTCCATAACTGCTTATCCTGTGGGGGATTGCAGGGGGGCTGGAGCCCATCCCAGCTGACACTGGGAGAGAGAGGTTGCCAGACTATCGCAGGGCTGACACATATAGACAGACAACCATTAACACTCACATTCACACCTACGGCCAATAAGAGTCACCAATTAACCTGCATGTCTTTGGACTGTGGGAGGAAGCCAGAGTACCTGGAGAAAACCCATGCTGTCACGGGAAGAAAGCAAACTCCACACAGAAGGGATCCCCCACCCTTGGTTCGATTCGGGAACCCTCTCGCTGTGAGGTGACACTGCTAACCACTGCACTATTAATGGTATACTTAACAGAAATTGTTGGTTATTGTCTGCAAACAGTAAACACAACATTCAAACTTGGCCTCTCAGCCAACGCCACAAGAAGCGCACGTACACTGCAGGCTACTATTGTAGGATTGTTACATTTGTTGTGATAGAAAAGCCGATAGTTTCACAAGCTAACTAAGCTAACTGCCAGCAACTACCTGTCTGACAGAGAAGCTCTTCATCCTCTTCTTCAGTGCTTGCCAGCAGGTGAAAGCCAAGCTCACATTCACTCTGATTTTGGAACAAGTTTTTTTCCCGTTGGTGTTTTTGCCTAGCTGTATTTGCATTTTTAGTGCTGTTTCCACCATTTTCTTGGCTTACAGTCTTGGACCTGGTTGCTACCTTTTTTTTAAAGTCCCGATCTCACGTGTGTGCTCTTTTGGGCTGGGAGCAACACCCACAGCCCTACAGTTGCAGCCCAGAGACGTCCTGAAGATGGCAGAGTAAGAGAAAAAAAGGAAATCCAGGCAGAAGGCAGAGTGTCTGCAAATAAATACACTGCCACACACTTCTAGTGGGCTATAAGTGATGACCAAGAGGGACTACTTCTGTTTGAGCCCACGTACATCATTTTTTAGGAAAATTCTTCATAGTATGCCTTTAAAACCTTGTGGGGTAGCCGAAAGACACTGCACTGTGTTGCAGCTGTTTGCTTTTTGTGACTCTCAAACAAGCAGTTAAGCTAAAAGAGGAATGGGGAAGGTGATAACCAGCGTCTGGCTTTGTTCTTTTTAGTAGTAATAGAGGGGCATATTCCACTGGATGGGTTTTCATAAACAGATCAAGTCAAATGAAATGAGCTGCGCTTTTCTTGGATGGCTTTGGTTTACGAGTTCTTCCTCCTGGAATCGAGGATCAGCTTGCAGATGGAGGAAATTGTTTGCTTTTATAGAAATTTTCCTCCCCGTTGTCTCTGTCTGTAGTGGTAGAAAGGAGCAGACACAGATACACACGCATCTTGAAACTGTAGAGATTTCCAGAGAGACGGAGAGAGAGACACACACGCATGCACCACATGGGTGGGAAAAATAATTGATTCTTAGATGCATCGGAATTCTCTCTTGAATGATTCAGCAACAATTCACAAAACTCATTAATTGAACTTCAGATGATTCCCCACCCACTAGCAGACAGCTAAATAATCAACTGCTTTTCTCTGTGTGGCTGGCTTCTTTAACGACACAACACTGGAGCCTTAATTGACACGCTTTTGGTTATCAGAAGAGTGGACTGAGGCTGTCAATCCACTTTATTAGGTGTAATGTTATGGAGACATAATCTGATGTCAGGGCACTCCAGCAGATTGTGGCAAAGGTGTGGCAAGCTGTGCCTGCAGTTCTTGTTGTGCTGTGTCATAATGCTTTTCAGTGCAGTGTGGCCACCTGGGGCCTTGATGGGAATCGTAGTCTGGCTCAGAAAATTGCAAAATAAAACCCAAAAAAACAGCTGTTGTGTGATTGTTTTATGCTCACTAGCAAACAGGAGGTGCCATTGGAACAGCTGCTAACTTAAAACTTATAATAAATACTTGGGTGCTTGTTGCACATATGGAAGTATATCATAGGGCTTGTTGTTGGGTTCAGTGGTACACTGCATGGGATATCTGCTCGGTGCCATGTCATGTTTTAAGCTAGAATTTCCAAAAGTCTGAGGCGAGTAGCACTGTTGTTGGTTCATCTTTTAAATGTTAGCAGTGTTTAACTCAGTCTGTCTAAAATTGTTTGATGCATTTGGTGGAGGAGAAAGGATTACGTGTTATATAAGACGAATTTAAATGATTCTCTACCATTCATGCTTGATTACCCAATACTGTGTGGCCACATTTCAAAAAGTCACGCAGAGGGCCATTTAAATAAGTCTGCAAGCCACAATTGGCCCTGAGCCGGACTTTGGACATACCTGCCCGAGGAATTCCCAAAGCAGCTGAAAAATCCATGCATAATTTGTATGTAGGTTTAGTTGAGCAGTCAGACCCACCTTTGGCCATGTAAAATATAGGTGAAACTATCTTCCATCCCATAGAAAACAGAACACTCAGTATGAGGAAGTCATGAGACGAATTCGAGATTGCCTTCTAAACTTGATTCATCACTTTTATGGTCCATGCATTGGATTAGTCTGGTATCTGAGGAAGGGAAAGTGCCAAGCTCTTGAGAAATCTCTCCAAAGAAGAAACTTGCCAGCCTTGCAGTTTCCTGTAAAGAATCTATCAAAGCCGATGCTGTGCTGTCAAAGTAGGGATTTCTCTTTCAGTAGGCATACGTCACCAACATCACCACTGGCTCTCAGAGTTTCCCCCGGACTCTTCAGCATTACCCACAACACACAGTTTTACTGCCAATAAGTTGTACACCTCCTTTCTTTGAGATGTAGTGTTATTCACAGACTAATTTCCATGTGGGTGGATGCTATAATCAAGCAGCAGAAAGGTCCTTAAACATCACATCTGACATTGTAAGAATATCTGAGTGTAGTTTTCCTTCCTGTGAAATGCTTGAATATTGAGACTGTATGTTTGAGTAGTTCCTGAGATGTACTGTTTACCTCTTCTCTGTTCTGTTTGTTCTTTTTATGAAAACACCGACCAAAGCATAATCCAAAGCTCATTACTGTGCCATGGCAGATTTATTATATTGACTGAGCTGCAGGGCCAGACTATACACTACACAGCTGATGAGACTAAGAGTATTTTTGTCTACCTTTTGATGATCTTGTTTTGCCTCTAACAGGAGAATATCTTCATGGACGAAAATGTAATTGGTTTGGGCCCAAATAATGTTATGGCAGTGACTGTAATAGGAAGTTCATTTAGAGCTAAATTAGACCTGTGACTCAGATGTCCCTCTTTGTTTGTTCTGTGTGAGCGTATGATGTGGAAGTGCTTTAGTAGGTCTGTGACGTTAAGGTGCAGTTTCAAGCATGTAACTCTGGGGTGCAGATACATTTTTGGTTTATTTCACGTGTTCACCAGAATGACCTCAAATGCCTGTTGTTGAATGTCATCACTGATCCAGACTAATTTAATGTGTGATTGACTGTGCTGTTTATGTGTTTGTTGGCAGCTGGCGTCGGGCATCTACAGCTTCGCGTGCTCCCTGTGGAGCCACCACACCGACTGCTTCCTCCAGCAGATCTATGCCAGAGATGAGGCTGCAGCGCTCAGCTCACTGGAGAGGACGCTGCTCTCTCTTAAAGGTAGCAACATTTGCACACATGCAAACTCACTCATGCCCGTTACACACACGACACAATTGCATTCTCATGCAACGAGGTGCAGTGACACAAAATAGTAAATCAAGGCCTTAAAGGAACAGTTCTCCTCCAATGTATTTTTGATTTTGTCGCATTGAGTTACTGGCTGCAAATAATATTACATTCCTCAAATGATTCCAGCTGTTGACAAACACTTGATAAAGCAGACAAGTTGTGAAGCTCTGGCAACATTCATTGTGAAACATCAATTCACTGGAGGTTGATTTTCAACTTGCAGCACTCCTGCATGCTGATCTTTTTTTTCTCTCTGCCCCTCTCAGTGCTTCGCAAGTTGACAGTCTTTGGATTTCAAGAGCCACAACAGAATATGGAAGTGATGGTGAGTCTAAAGTTATTTCGGCTGTGGCTGCTAAGAACCTCTCATGTTTTTGAAAAGCTGATATCTTCGCTGTTGGTGTTTTGAGTTGGAAATGACTCCAATCACCGTGTGCAGTATGTGGATGGCCGTGAAGATTGAAAGTGCCTTAAGCCTGGTCTCAGTTCAAAGAGTCGAGACTTCTGTATGAGCTCTTCTCCCACTCTCGGTGGGAAAAAAAAGTCCAACTCCATGAAACTGTTAATTCAATTTAGCCCAAATCTCTCTGGTTTTAAAAAAAAAATTCTTTAGCGTGTATCTGAATAGGGTTTTGGTTCCCCCATGGCTTAGAGTTAATGGAATCATTTGCACAAAATGTCCCAGCCCTATGAACTCCAGCTGTGGATTCTGGCTACTTCCTGTGTTGTCAGTCGAGGTTTGGTGAAAGAATAGCAGTTATAGAGAACAATACCCTAAAAATGATTATACTGAAAGTTTCAAGGACTTTATAAAAAGTACTCTTTATTACTTATTTTAATCAAATTAAAAGAAATAAACCAATGAATTGCGCTTGATTTATTCATTTTGTATAATACCTAACTTTAGTGGATCATAACATATTGGAGTATGCAATTAATCAGCAGATGCTCCAGTTCAAAATGAGACCAAACTTTCTTGTGAATGCCAGTTTTTGAGCCATGATGAAGGCAAAAATGTGACCTGCAACAGACTTAGTAAGGCTTGTTGCTTTCAGTCAAGCCAATTTCTGGAAAACTCGTGGCAGAGACCTGCACGGGTCCCTTTATGAAGACCCATACCCACCCCTTCCCGTAAAGCTCAGTACCAGAACCGACCCGTTACCAGTCATTATGGCCAAGTCAAAGCTGCACCCGCTCACACCTGTTATGTAATGTCCTGCAACATCAATGTCCTGTGATTAAACACACACAGGCTACAGTCTCTCACATGAAGCTGGGCTCTCCGTTTTTGAGTTAAAAATACAGCGGAGGTAAAGTCTCTTTCGCTGGCTGTGCTCGATGCCAGGATAGTGAAAACATTTTGTGCAGTCGCTGCCAGGTTAGGAAACATTTAGCATGCTCCTTCCACCACCATAAAAACTCAAAAGGATCCTCCCTGGGGGTCTTGACTCGATGTAGGCTGCCACGTCATCCCTAAGCTTTAAAGTTTCACCCCTGAAGTCCTCCACGTCGGTGACGAATGTGACAACGGGGTCAAAGGTTCAACTTGTGTCACTGACTTTCAAAATGAAAAGAATTGCGGCTTGATGATAGTGATTGGCATGTCAAAATATTTCACATATCCTGCATGTCTTTTTCATTTGTTTTATTCTGAAAATACAATATTTTTGTTCTGACCCGCTGCCCCGTGCCCATGAATTTATATATATATACATAAACACAGCTTTTTGCAGGTAACAGGTCGGGTCTGCATTTCTGGGTCCTTCACGCCTGGACAGGATTCTGACTCTCAGCCCCTACCAGCTGGTTTAAAGAAGTGAGGAGTCAGCACTTAATGACGGCACAAACAGTCATAAAACTTTTTTTTTTAATGATTTGTGAACCATCACAACCACGAGAGGTCCTGAAGCAAATAGTCATAAAAGTGCTCACAAAATGTTAGGCTGATTGGTCCAGTAGATTACGAGATTAGCCGAGGACAGACAGGAAGACGCACAAAAGACCAAACGTATGATCCTCCTCAGGCTTATGCCTCTCTGAGATAATAATTGATAAATGAAAAGAAGTGTTAGTTCCAAAGAGACATCAAAATATATATTTTTTTGGGCTCAAGCAACCTTGATATTCACTATATATGCGGACATTAATATTAGGAGCCTGCTCAGTGAGTTGCTGCTGTGCTGCACCCTCTGTCTCTCTGTCCTTGTCTCTCCATTGTAGTTTTTCAATATTTTTTCTTTGATTGGTTTATTTGTTTGTGTCTTTGTTGTCATCTGGGAGATGGAAGGGACATTTCATGACAGAAGCAATTTTGTTTACTGTGCTCCATTATTCAACTAATGAGACAACTTTTAGCTTGCAGGCTGAAGGTTGTATAATGGTGGAAATAGTCACATTAAAATGTCATTTGCCCTGAGCTGTCCCTGGTTATTCCAGCTCAGTGAGCAGAAGAAATGGTTTGGAGTTAATATTTCATGTGTAGATGTTTATGCCCTTATTATCTCAGACTCACTACTTCCTACTTTGGCTTGTTGATACCAATTTTCATGTATTTCATTATTTAGCTGATGGTGTGTCAACAGAAGTATGATCACTGTGAACCAAGATCCCTTAACAACATTCAAGTCATGGTCACGCATCGTACTGTTTTAAAATCAAATGATGGTCCCATACACTCAAAGTTGTACATGGCTTATTGATGCTTCACTTGGTTGTTTAACCTTCACCGTGCATCGTTCGACACTTGAAGGCTGTTTTAGAATTCCTCTGCAGAAGTAAGCCGTGCTCACCTTAACTCTGAATTTAAGTTGTGTGTTTGCTTAGGATTTTGTGACATCACAGCTAGTATATAAGCCAATTATGGTCGCTATGCAACACACATTTAAATGTCATTTTAAGAAGTTTGCAAGCAGATGACTACATAAAGAAATCCATCACAAGCTGACATAAGTTGGTCTTAAAAGTAGTAAAAAATGTATTGAGAACTGTCTGACGCCTGAGGTTTTTGCTCACATGGATTACTTTTACATACGCTGACCTCACTATTTGAAACTTTGGCCACATTTAATATGAACATCTGACCGTGTAATATTATACATGGGACAGAAAATTAAGGAAAAGCATAATAGGTCCCCTTGAAAGATGTCTGCGAGGCATCTTAAAGACTTATTTCACTGCTTATATCAGCAGGTGGTGTAATCTTGTGGCTGTCTCTCGTCTCTTTGGCTGCTGTATGGAAACAAATAAGCAACACCACGGGTCCAGTTGCTCACCTATCTCAGACTGATGTCACAGTTTACTGAACTTCAGTTGTTTTTCTTATTTTCCTCCTGACACTCACTGTTGCTGCTGTTGTCTGAGTTCATCTCTGCACAAAGTGAAGTCCTATAGCCTCAGGATAAGCATGGTTTTTGCTGTGGGGGAAAGATGTTTATAACAAGAGGTGTTTTTCACTCCATTGGCAACGCTTGGAGTGAATCCATTTGCCTCCTCCCATTGAATAATCACACATTTTATTGGTATGTAATCATAAACAGTGTTCAGACTTCAACATGGATGTGTTTGGCATCAGCCTCCATGATCTAGAACAAATTAAACTGAAAGAAAGTTAATTGTTGTTAATAGGAACAGGTGAGGTGAGTCAGACAGGGATAATGTAATTTAGATTAATTGGATGCAATTACGGGTTTCGCTCAGATGAACCCTTTTCCTGAATAGGATTCATTGATAAATTCAGTTATTTCACTACACCGTCAGAGGGTGAGCTTTTTCAATCCGATAATGGGACTCCTCATCCAGATCCTTTTGACTGTTATTAACTACATCCTGAGATTTCTTTTCAGTTTACATGGTTTTGGACAGATGCTTTCCTTCAGCCGTTTTTCAAATATTTCCTGTGATGTTTAAAAGATGTGCCTGACTTATTGATTTGGTCATCAAGGTGTTGATGGCCAATCAGCTCTCATTTTTCTCTTCCTTTCATGATGTGTGTGATGCTGGGGAAACTATTAAATCGTATTACATTATTTAATTTTAAAATCTGTTTCAAGGTTATACGTCTGAAAGGGAGTTCACTTAAGGGAAAAGAGTCTGCAGGTTGCCTACCAAAGAAGTAATTAAGCAACCTGCAGAGAACTGATTAAACCCATCTGAAAGAGTAACTATGTTTAACTAAGTCGTGATGTGTAGCTCAGACGCCTGCAGCACAGCAGGCCTGAAATGTAACAGTGAATCTTGATAATAAGCCGGTGCCATATCTGCTAATTATGCATAATGTGCAATAGCAATCTTGCTGTGAATAGGCATGTGCTTTTGTTAACCATGTTCAACTCAATTTCTGGCTCCTGAGCACTGATGGATTGTGGGAACCATGCTGAAAAATGGTTATTTAATGAAGCACATATATTTTCCATTGAATATGTATTCTAGGGTGAAATGACAAACAGTATAATTTCATAAGCTTTTACCATCTGTGGAGAAAAAACTTTTATGTAAACTAAAATCATGAAATGCAAAATAAAATAGTTTCATTTTTGAGTTATTAAAGTTATAACTAAAGCTGTAATTTACCTATGTTGGTGCCAGTTGTTTGATAGAAGCATACTTAGAATGCAACTTGTGTTAAGGGGTTACGTTGGTATGTTTCAACCTGGACCCTATTTTCCTATCATTTCATACCACAGCACCAGTTCTGCTTACCAAAACTGGCCCACTAGGCGGCTCACAGTCCACGCCTAGCTCCAAAGTTTGAGAATAGGTTGAGATCGTTTCGGCCCCAAGACCTCTAATCATTCGCTTTACCAGATAAAACTGCGAGACTCTGAGCGCCAGCTGTCCTGAGGGAAACTTCGGAGGGACCTAGCTACTAGATGGTTCAGTCTGTCTGTCGCCCCTATACCCAGGTTGGACAACAGATTTGCACGTCAGGACCGCTACGGGCCTCCACCAGAGTTTCCTCTGGCTTCACCCTGCCCAGGCATAGTTCACAATCTTTTGGGTCCTATGGTTCATGCTCCACCCCACCAACAGTGTGGGCGAGATGGGTTAGTGGCATCTGAGGATCCTTTTGTGCCTGAGTGACTAATGGAAACAACGATTTTTGAAATTGGTCCAATATTGAGCGAGGCTGCTGCAGCCGGCAGCATCAAAACAAGCTGCAGTGGAACCTCTTGTGGCGTATTTGCTCCGTCAATTTAAAACAGTAATTTCGTCATTGTAAAAGGGACTTCATTCAGCGTCCACAGACAAACTCACAAAGACCACCTTGGTTTTTCTATCCACTGTCCAAACAGTCATCAGCTCTGATTAGATTGAAATAAACCCCTTGATTCACCCAGCTACATGTAAGAACATGTAGGCTCTGTACATGCTAACAATAATGTTTATTTAAATGGATTCTAGTGGGTTTGGCAGTGGCAATTTTAGGGCTGTCATTGCAAGTGGTTACATTGCTGCCTGTATTGGCGCTGCTGGCTGAAGCCTACTTTCTCAATACCGGGCCAATTTAAAAATTGTGGTTCCTAGAAGGTCACAACTGTGGGGGAAAAAAGGACCAGGTTGAAAAACACTGCAGTTAGCCTTAAAGACCGAATACAAATGAATGGGTAGATTGTTTTGTTCATCTTTCCATAATGTTCTTTAGTGCACAAATACAGGCTACTAACAAGTTATACACTCTTACATAACAAGTGTCCACACTTCACTCTTGATTTGAGTATTTTGGATAGATTGGGTTTATTTTCTAATCACCAGAGTGGCAGCACCACTGAAGGAACAGCAGTGAGTTTGAAAAACTGACACTAAGAATGAAGAGCGCTGTCAGTTTTCACACAGACTGCCACCGTGAGGAATTTTAAAGCATATTTTTCAGCTGAATGACTATTTCCTTTGCTTCATTGTCAAACAAGCACTACAGGAGGCTTGAAGAGACACCTCAGTTGATCTGAAACAAAAACATTTTTAACAGATGTATGCTTTTGCTTCTCAGTATGTGGATTTGTAAGATGAGTTAACAAGCATCTTCCTGCCACTCGCAAAGATTTAGAGAGGCACATTCAGTTAAGCTTTGGTAATAATCAATCCACCTCAACATTCTATACCTAGAGTAAGTCTGGGCATTGCCCTGTCACGATAATTACATTAGACCTATCGTACGATATACATGACCTTCATCTTTTTGCCAGTTGTGTTTACGCGCGTATTTGTTATCATAAGAATCTCACTGTCATTTAAGACAACACGATGCCAGAAAAAACAGCAGGGTTTTCCTGAGCATTACAAGACAGCGACTCGTACTTTTATCCAACCCCCACCTACTTGCTCAGGCCCAAAGAAAAATAGAACGAAACATATCATACCAGTTGCCTACAGCTGCACTTTTGGAGTAACCAGGCACAGCTCTGATTGTCGTTAACTTGCCAGCTCCTGGAAGTGATCCAAAAAGTCTGTTGTTTGTAGTTTAATAAGCCAACAACTTCATCCTACACATCACAAATCCACCGTTAACCGCCCCACTCCTCGGCTGTCCAACCCTGCGAGCAGATTGTGGCACACTGGCCGGATTATGAAGGTGACTGCGGTGTTCCCGGAGCTTCGTTGGTTTTGTTTTTGTTGGCCAGCTGTTGTATTAAATCTCCTGAGTAATTTCTGAATATTCTTAAGAAATAAAAGTTCATTGCTCATTGAAAGGGTGTACTTGTTTTGCTTTTATGTCATTATATCAGTCGCGTGGAAATGTTCTTGAAAATATAAACATAGATAGTTTATCTCAGGGTCAGAAATGAAATGTTTTTTGTCCAACTGCCACTGTCAGTGGAATCCAGAATCTGCCAGCCGCAAATAGATTATCATTGTTATTTTGGGCTGGTGAGAGACGCAAATGTACCAGCATCTGTTTGGTGGCTGGTGTAAATTTCCAACCTTGATCGCAACTATTTCTGGGATAAAACATTGTCCAACAGAAGTAGTTATCATGAGTCATCAGGCCTATCCGTGCACTTAAAGTTGATCAAATTTTTCATCATGACTTGCTACAAACTGTTCTTCCTTTAGCTCCTTTTTTAGATTGAACTTGGTCATTCTGTTGATACTTTCATCTCCCCTTACAAACTACTTGTCCCATCACTGCTGACATGCCCATTTGATGCCAGCCACACTCTGTCTGTGTCAATTTCCCATCTTTTTCTCACCATCTCAATCCATTTTGCTGACATTCATTTACCTTGCGTGTGTACTCATCCCCGGCAGAGCCATGAGCCTCACATCTCTTCCTGTTTAGTTGTCAAACCTTTTTCATCATGACTTATTTAACTGAAAACTTCCATTTTTCACTCCCTTTCGAGTCAGTCATTTCTAATTTCCTGCATGCTGTATATAAGTATAGATACAGTAGATATTTTTCTCCACCTTTTATTTTACTTACCTCACCTCTTCCTCTTTTCCTACTATTACCTTAACCAATGCCTGCTGTATACGATGTTTCCCGTCATCTCCCACCTGCTCCTTTGCGCTCTTCCTTCGCTAAACTCTGTTCGGAGCTCTACTTACAGGCTGGGCTGTGCTCGCTGGATGTGTGATTAATGGCACTGCTGTTGACCTCATGGCTGAACATTAACGCAGAGCTAAACCGATTGCATCTCCATCTATCATCTAATTTCCCATGCTAAGCTGCACCAGGCTACAGAAAATTGATTCTCTTTCATACAGTGAAGCTGGCACTTTTATTTATACTCCAGAGTACAGAGTGTGCCCAAGCACACATACACACATACTAAAGTTATTCCCTTGTTAATGTATCTGCTTCTGAGTAATACTGATGAAGCAATCACTCGTGATTCAACTGCAGAAATGTCAAAGAGATTAAACTTTATCTCACCCTCTCTTCATCTCTTTCTTTTCAGGGTTTCCTGAATGCAGTGTTTGAGAGGCTAAAACAGTTCTTGGAATGCTGTGAGTACTTGTCTCTTTCTCTGTTCTGAATCTCTGATCCAAGGCTTCTCCCTTCAGTAAACAAACTCTGTTAATGGTGCTTGATCTAATGCATGCACCTATTTAAAAGTCTAGGTCTCATGATGGCATATTATAATGTAGGTGTCAAATTAAAAGTTCAGGTCGAGTCATCTTAAGGGGCTTAGATTTTAATCAGGAGTTTCACTTCTAAACCATTAGGAAACAGGGGATCTCTAAGTACAACTTATACCCTCTGTACTATTATTTAAATGTGTGAGTCTGACTCGAGGAATGAGGACCTTTGTTAAATCTTGAGAGAGCGGGTTGAAGACACCATGAAATGTGTCTTCCTGGAAAGTCTTTGATCGTGACCTCATTTTGCACTAGTAGATGTAACCATAAAATCTCAGCAATAAAACTGTCCAAAAGTGATTTAGTAATCTTACCCCTCTGTCCCTCCTAGCAGATGAAACATGTTCGTCTATCACACTAATGCTCCATTGGTTTACATGTGAAAATGACTGTTTACTGTGTTGTGCTAAAGCCCAACATTGTCCTTTAACAGGAAATGCTCCATATTAGCATGAACTCAAGTTTTTTGTTATTTTTTTAATGTTTCTGTTAGTTTATACTCTGGTCCTGAAGGACTGATATTTAGTCTAAACTGTATTTTTTGTACAGCTACTTCTGCTTTAGTGCGTAACTGAGATCAATTTAGTCAATTGAATTTTCTTCAATGCTCCCACTCTTTCACACGCTAGGTGTCTGGGTTGCCACTTCCTGTCTTATTAACTTCTGCTCTCTTCATTTGCATGCACGCACACACACTCACTCTCTGTCGTTATCTCACTCTTTCTTTAAACTAGTTCTTTAACTTTGTTTGCAATGTCAGTAAACATCACAAGAAATGTTCTCCCCTTGTCCTAAAATTGGTACTTGAGTCACCCGGCGTTCTCCTTAAAGCATAAATGAAGCATTACACAAGTCTAGGTAGCTTCTATGTTTGTATATGGACAATTAGTGAAGTTCAGCACTATTAACTCTTAGTTCCCCTTTAAGGACTTGACACACTGGGGGCCGTGACAAATCAGCAACATGAAAATGCTAAATATTTGCAAGTGAATATTTACAGGGTACTGAGAAACGCAAACAGTCAATAGGTTTTCCATTATTGAAACCTTGTGACCTCCATTTTACGACGTCAGTTATGCACAAAATGAGTGATTCATGCCTTTGCAGTGCTAAAGACAGAAAAATCAACCTTGTTCCGGAAAAAAAAAAAGAAAAGTTTTTTGTTGCATAATATTCACATCCTGTGTGAGTTTTATCCGCTGTGAGGGTCCAAGGACAGAGGGATGTTGCATGCTGTAAAGCCCCCTGAAGCAAATTGTTATTTGTGATATTGGGCTTTGTTAATAAAATTGAATTGAACTGAATTGAAAGTACTCATGACAAAAACTAGAGTTAAAAAAACATATTAATGTGTGAATTATTTGTACTATAGCACCGCCCCCGATGTGTAAAGGCCTTTAGTTTCTGAACCATTAGAAGGTAATGCACCATGAGCACAGACTTTTTTGGCATCTGGAACTCTGTAACCGCAACAAAATTTTGTCCCTAGTTCACCGGTTCTCAAACTACTGTATGTGTACCCCTGGTGGTACGCGAGCTCTCTTTAGCATATGCAGAGGAATCTCCAAAATAAATGTGTATCAAAAAATTAAATAAATTAATTTAAAAAAACATATAATACAATCAAAATACTCAAAAGAATTCAGAATGAAAATACTTAAACTTTGAGATCACTGAAATGCAAATTAAGATAAATTTTGCCTTTGTTCCGATATCAGCCTGCTACATAGTCATGTTTGTAAAGCGCACATATGTCTATGATTAGTTATGAGCTAAACTGTGAAAGCAGTAGAATAGGGAATGGGCACAGTGACGTCACCATGGACGTCGCCGCCATGTTGATGGCTACGGGCAGCAGTAAACAAACGCAGTAGTTGAGTCGCAACGAGTGGAGGAAGCGAGGGAAAAGATGTTAAGATGCCAGAAAGAAAGGGGAATTTACCGGGATACATTGAACCACGAAGCCAGGGACCAGTATATGGAGAAAATGAACGCTATAAATGGTTTGGACCTAGCCTTGGACCAAAACGTCTTGAAAACAAACCCCGATTTTCATTTGGGGGTTCCCGGTCTAGACCGATTCACGTCTCCATAAACGTTCAAATCAAACATGTAATGTACTCACCTCATAGGCACAGATGTTAGGAAGGTGTACGGGGGGTTGCCATGTGTTTGTATATCCGTTATTGTTCAATAAACATGCATTTTTATCTCGGATGTAAGCCTCTTACTACCAATGTGCAATACATCTCCCAACCGCTGTGGCGCAGTAGAAAGCCGGTCCACTCATTCATTGCAGGACGAAGAAGGGGTGAAGAAAATTTCAGACATCCGAGATAAAAATGCATGTTTATTGAAGAATAACGGATATACAAACACATGGCAACCCCCCGTACACCTTCCTAACATCTGTGCCTATGAGGTGAGTACATTACATGTTTGATTTGAACGTTTATGGAGACGTGAATCGGTCTAGACCGGGAACCCCCAAACAAAAAACGGGGTTCGTTTTCAAGATGTTAGGTGTTGAAAACGAACAAACATGGCTAGGTCCAAACCATTTATAGCGTTCATTTTCTCCATATACCAGTCCCTGGCTTCGTGGTTCAATGTATCCCGGTAAATTCCCCTTCCTTTCTGGCATCTTAACATCTTTTCCCTCGCTTTCTCCACTCGATGCGACTCAACTACTGCGTTTGTTTACTGCCGACCGTAGCCATGAACATGGCGGCGACGTCCATGGTGACGTCACTGTGCCCATTCCCTATTGATAATAATCACTTGTATTCATATACACCAATCAACCACCCGAACCTGACCCGGCTTTTGTAGGACTTAGCACTGCTGCATGTGTGTGTTTGAGAGTGATAGAGAGGAAAGAGAAGGTGGACTATTGCACGCAATGTTTCTGTAAGATAATAATGACTTAGAATGCTGCAGGTCAGGCTGCATCCCAAGATGCAAAGCAAGAGCTTTGCTACAGTTGCCAGCTGCAGATAACCATCTGCAATTCCTGGCACCTGTTCCTTTTCCTTGTCAGACAGCCAATTGAATTGCTTGAAGCGGGGGTCAATGACTGCGCTAAGGACACTGGCCTAATCTGTGTTTGACACTTCTCATCTCTTTTAAGTTTATGTGACCAGTCTACTGCTGAAAAAGAGAAACAGAACATCGTTGGACGTTGATAACCATGGCAACGATTGAAGCTTCTAAGCATTTGGGGCAGCCCTAGATGACAGTGAACTGAGCGCAATTGCTTATGGCTACTTGAGAGGCGGCAGTGGAGTCTTCACAGCATCTGCTAGCAGCAAATGGTGCAAAACAGTAACGACTTGAGTTACCTTAATGAATAAACTTCTCATGAACCTGCCCTTTTGTGTGAACTGTCTGTAGCTGAAAATGGTAGGCCTATGCTGCTGTATTTCAGCGTCAGCCATAATTGTGGTACCTGTAGAGTCTAATACTTTCTGAGGCTGTGCCCGGTGTGGAAAAGTTTGACAACCACTGCTGTAGTAAAAATACTTTAGTTCTTATAAAGGTTCTTTGTCCTTTGGTAAACTTCACGGGACGCAAACACATATTGAGTGACATGTTTTGTGTGGTAGCTACCCAGCTCAGTGACAGCTAGCTGATTTAGCTGACTTCCACCGCCTAATTTCACTATCAACAGCCATTTCTTCTTTTCCATGAAAGTTTGTCATGACAACACCCAGCAAGTGAGAGATAAATCTCAGACACAACTCAACGAGCTGCCATAGCAGCAGATGTTCGCAAAAATATCATTTGAGATATCAGCCATAGCTATCACTTCTAATATTTACTCTGCTGATGGCAGTGGAGACAGGGTCAGGGTCCTGTTGGTATTTGGGCCTGGCAGATAGGGGAAACGGCAAGGCAGCTCACAGCCGGGCCGGGGAGAAATATCAGCTCTGCACAGACTGATAAGGTCAGCTATATAAACTGGTGTTTTTGGGGCAGTCTTTGTGGTCCGTTCAGATGTCTGGCTCTCCCTGTTAGATGTTTGTCCTCCAACTGAGGTCACCTATCCATTTCTGTCAGTCACCACACTGTTGAAAACTTTTTTTCAACATTAAATATCTTTCAGATAAAGAAAAAGAAGACAGAAAATAAAGAGAGCACTGAGACTAATGGCTATTCAGTGTTCCTGTTTCTTTCTATAGATTTTATTAGCCCGTTTCCTCGGTTCAGATGTATGACCTCAGGGACTTTGATGACTTTACACAACATCTGCTTACATTTGCTGGCTGTCGTACACCTGCAAACAAGGAAACAATGGCATGGACGCAAAGTCGATAAATGCAGTGGTGTTTTCATTTCCATAATCCTGATTGTAAATCTGGAAGAAGCGAGACAAGCAAATCTTGGAGCCACTTAACCTTTTTAATCAATGTAATGTCATTTTGAATTAGTAGTTGCTAATACAATGAACGTGTGTATGAGGGGAGAGGAAACTATGACCCTGGCTGTTCACAGATGATTGGAGAAATGCCAGAGACCGTTATGGTCGCTGCAGATTTCATCAATGAGGTTGACAAGGAAGTAAACTACATGGGACATCTTTATTGGCTCTAGCATCATGAGTGGTTTTATAGAGTCAGAATTTACATCAGTGGGACTGAGTAATTCATGGTCATTTTTGAGTTCTTTTATTACCGTACCTTATTATATTCACCAACGTAATGGGCCCATGGGACTCTCACAAGGCAGCAAGGTGAAGTGGACATTTGACCTTAAAGAACAAGGAAAAGTTTCATATTGTAAATCAGGATACATTAATCTCTGCACATTTCCAGAGCATCTCTTTCTTTCTCTTAATGTCCTTCTTGTAATCTTACTCCTGCTCAGATAATTTCTCATCTAATGTTCCAGAGCTTACTGAAACGGTTTCCTCTGAATTGATTGTGACTCATAAAATCTCCTTATCAACAAATGACACCGTAGTTTCCTATGTGGGTTTCATGCAGTGCACCTTTTTTTGAAGGCGTACGCTAAAGGAAAAGCACAGAATTTCAGCACATAGTGCTGTTGTTCTGCCAGTATGTCAGTGTTAAAATCTATTAATACACAAATCCTCAGATATTTGACACACCAGTGCTATGAGTAAACAGATTTCCCAAAATGACATACAATTTCTTTAATTAAAATAGAACGAGCGTTCTAGTCAGGATCCACTTCCAAGTCCAAGAGATAACTCTGATTACTTCCACTGACATCATGGATATTGCTACGGACAAGTCAGGTCCAGAGGTTAAGTGCTAATTATCTTAAAGGGTGAGAGAAAAAAATTAAACGGATGGACTGATTTCCAATATTGGAGGAAATAGAGGGGAGGTAGGTTAGCTTAATGCGTTAGGATGCTCACGGGCAGGCTAGCAGTTAGTGGGTCCCTCAGACAAGGCCTTGTCATAGAAAGAGTCAGGATTCACTTTTAAGTTCAAGAGATTACTTTGATTACTTCCGCTGGCATCATGGATATTGTTTAGGACAAGTCAGGTTTAGAGGTTAAGTGCTAATTATCTTAAAGGGTGAGAAAGATTAGAGAAAATAGAAGGGGGGCGTCGGTGGCTTAGTGGTAGAGCAGGCACCCCATGTACAAGGCTGTTGCCGCAGCGGCCCGGGTTCGACTCCAGCCTGTGGCCCTTTGCTGCATGTCTCTCCCTCTCTCTCTCCCCCTTTCACACTTCACTGTTCTATCAATTAAAGGCAAAAAATAAAAATATCTTAAAAAAAAAAAAAAATAGAAGGGAGAAGGGTTACCTTAATGTGTTAGCACACCCTTAGACAGGCTAGCAGTTGGGGGTCTCTCATTCCCTGGACCCATCGGCTGTATTCGGCATCTGACTTCCGGCAGACGGTGATACAGCCTCTGGGGGCAGACCCCCAATTTTTTGCCGTTCCGGTTTGATTTAGGCGGAGAAGGCGAATTTCCATTTCCGACTTCCATTTATATATAAGTAAATATGCTGAACCATTGCGATGGATTCAGAGTTTACAATGAAGACAATTATGTTCAACCTCGTTAGTTCACCACAAGGACCGATTAACCTGGCAACAACTGCAGCCGGCTCAAACGTGATTGGTCAATATCACGCGGACTACAAACAGCCTACAACCGGAAACCAGGGCTCTTCCGCTCTTCTTCTGGAGGCAAGATCTCCGGGGTTTGCCTACAGTCTGTATATAGAGACTAGGGGTCTCTCCGAAAAGGACTAGTCAAAACTGGTCTCTGCTCTCGTGAGTGGCGAGTTTGGTCTTGATATTTCAGTTCAGTGTGTAGGTTGTTGGTGGATGGATCCCCCAAAAATACCACCAAGCTCTCTCCTCTGGAAAGGTTACTTGAATTCACGTTAAAATGCTCTGTGAATGCTCTGTGTTAAGTATACTTTTGCTGTTTCAGTTACAATACTGTGTGGTTGCTTTGTGTTTCAGGTCGGCAAGTCGGTCCAGACAGCACATGCAGAGAAAAGCTGGAGAAGACGATCATACTATACACTAAAGTTGTGAGTTGACCTGCATATTAATATAAAATAAGAAATGACAAATGTCTTTTTCGTCATTAATGAATACATTGTATGTCTGCATCGAGGACGTTGCAGACCAGTTATAGCATCTAACAATTTTTTCTTACTCTTACATTCCTTTCCCCTGTGTTTTGTCCCCTTCTGTACTTTTCTTTCCTTCCTTCTGTGTAGTTGTTAGATTTCCTGGAGTACCATCCATGTGCATTCATACCTCTAATCCAGCGTTCCCTGGAGTTTGCAGTCAGCTATCTGTTCACAGCTGCAGGGGAGGGAGTGACCTTTGAGCGCTTCATTGTTCAATGCATGAACCTCATCAAGATGATTGTAAAGAACGATGCCTACAAACCTTCCAAGAACATTGAAGGTAGGATATAAGGACTTTGGGAAGGGTAGAGAATGAGATGAATGAAGTGATTGCAGACATGGTTAAAGAGAAAAAAGAAATGAAAGCCAGACATATCTGAATTTTAGGTCTGTGATTCAAAGGCCAACAGAAAATGCCACTAGCTCTTCAAAGCTCATCACTGACAGTGTTTTTAAAAGCACAACGCTGTAATACCATCCGCGTCACCGTACCTCACCACGGCTCATGTTTATTTCAAGCTGACAGAGGCCTCAAGTGCTTCATTAGCCGTACAGCACAGCACTATGTCTTTGTTCTGCCAGCTAGTTTGGTCTTTGGTATGCCTTATTGAAGATCTTCCTTCTGAACAATCGTTAGTTGACAGACTACAGAGCCATGGATTTAGTGGTTTTTGTGTTAATGCTTTGGTTTCATCTGCATGTTTGAGTATTTCAGTGTGTCTTCGTCAACAGAGTTAAGTTCGATTTCAGGTTTGCTTTCTATTCCCAATTTCCAAACAAAAAACCAAAGTATTTTGAGTGGTGAGGCTACATAGCTAAAGGGAACGTTGAGCCTTGAATGATCCAGCTAGGCTCAGAACAGCTGTCTAACTTATTTATTAGGGCCATGCTGTCAGTCAAATGGACAGACAGGAAGACCCATGTGTGTCTGAGAGTATTAGAGCACGGACCTTAGTACTGTGTGAGACTAGTGACATGGAGGTCAGGGGCCACAGGTAAAGTGGAAGTTTTAAAGTTTAATGAATAAAGAAAATAAAGAAATCTGTCAAGTTGGGTAACGGTTTGCCACTGGAAGTAAGGTTAAATTTTCATGTTTGCTTATATCAAAGTATGTCTTGTCATTTAAAGTTTTGGAAAAGTCATGGAATTTTGTTGTTTGTAATGAGGTTGATTGTTACAGTAATAGTTCGGGAATACCTTCCTCGTAATGTAACGTAAGGGCAAATTTATTTTCTGTAAGTTAGCTGTTGACATAACGTGGCTCCAAAATGCGTCAACATAGCGCCGCATGATAAATCGTTACAGCATCGACATTGGCATGATCAGTAGTCGCATCAAGGAGCGTACAATGTCAAGTAAGGCAAATTCACTCTAACAAGTTATCTGATGCTTAATACAAACAAAACACTTGCACAGTTCTCATTTTCCAGGACTTACACCAGCCAAGCCTTCAGCTTTTAGATGTTAGGTGCATATGTGACATAGTGTGGTGGCGTTTGTTATGGGAAGCAAGACTCTCCTGCATGTTTGTTTAGAAAAGTGCTTTTCTGAAATGAAAATTTTATTATGGGTCCTTGAAAAGTTATGAAAAAGTTTTGAAATTTTGTCCATGAAAATGTGTGGTAACCCTTTGATTACTTGAACTGCTCCTTTTACCATTTTGTGCACCGTTTCAAGCCAAGGCTTTATCCTGAAATTAAGCCATTTGAGTATGCAGCCTACGTTTGATTTGTATTGATTAAACTGCATTTAATATTGTCACTGTAAATTAGATTTTAACCTCTGATGTATAGGGAAGTATAAACAGAAGATAGTGCTAATATGACTGTGTATTGTTTGACAGAATAATGGATAGCTAAATACCTTTCTTTTCTTCCTTCTTTCTTCTCTGTCTGTTACTCTCCCTCCTCTCCTTCCCTCCTCCCGCCCTCAGACAGTAAACCAGAGAATCTGGAGGCTCACAAGATCAAGACAGCATTCTTCACACACCCCACGCTGACAGAGATTGGACGCCGGCTCGTCTCACACTACTTCCTTCTCACAGAGGAAGAGCTGGCAATGTGGGAAGAGGACCCTGAGAGCTTTGGTAATAGCACTTCCCCAGACAGACAGGCTGAATCCAAATGCACAGACTTATCTGGAGCTGCAGACTGGCAGAGTTAACAGGCATGTTCAGTCCAGAATGACGAGGGTTACTTAGTTCGGCAGTTACTGAAGTCAGCGATGTCGCCTTGGATGCAGACTTCACCAGAATTTATTGTGTTGTGGTGATGTCATATTCATGCATTAAGGTTAGGTGCTGAAGACATGGATAATAGTTCTAATATTGATTACTTAAATAGTGTTTTGTCTGTGATAATCTGCACAGTCAAACAAAAGGTTTTCCTGCAACTTTCACCCAAAATCTACCATTAACGGCATTACTGTGGTGTGATGTAAAGCAACAGAGCATTTTATTATGCAGATCAAGAATTATAAACTACGGGGCAGAAGGTGGTTTTTTACTAAAGCAGCAATACTTAACATGCTACTGGTCTGGCACCATCCTACATCGCAGACCTCCTAACCCCCTATTCTACGCCCAGGTCCCTCAGGTCAGCTGACCAGGGGCTCCTGGCTGTCCCATGCTCCAGGGCTGATCGTGCCTTTGCTGTGTCTGCCCCCAAACTGTAGAACAGTATCCCCCTACCAATCAGATCCGCCCCCACCACTGACTCTTAAAAGTCCAAGCTCAAAACCTACTTCTGTTCATTAGCGTTTGCCCTGATGTGGCTTGCCCTGATGCGTGCCTGTGTGCACTTTGGTTAACGTGAGGTGTTTTTATATGTTCCTTATAGATAAATTTGAGTTGAGTTGAGAGCTTAAGTTTTTATTAAATGCTCCGTGACATAGATGCAAGGGTAGACATGATTGTTGCTAGTCGCTTTGGCAGAGATTAAGATGTATGTAACAGATTTTATTTTCATTGAAAACCCACGGTCCTCACAGACCTGATGTAGTGACACTGACCACTCAGACACAAAACTCTCCATCCTTATCTTATGTTCTGGATTTTATCATTTGTGCTGTCTTTTATATTGTAATTTATTTTGACTTGATTAATTCATTCATTTATATTATTCATATATGCGTTTTTGTGTGTGTGTGCAGCACTTTAAATGCTGTATGAATAAAGCTTTACACACTCACTGACTTTACAAAGCTGAGAACATAAGGGCATAATGCTGTAGCTCAGTGCGGTGACATTTGGATTCAGTACTGTAGTCAGAAAGACACAAGTGTGTAAAAATATGTTTGCACTTTTGCCCTGACAAGAGCTCTGACAGATGTATAATCCCCAGACCAGTGTTTCCTAATAGATAAACATTTGTCAGCCCAGAATGTAGTTTACGCTTGTAGCAGTGTTAACTTTGACAGTAGTCCTCCACAGACAACCACTCCTCTGATCTCTTCTTTTCTCTTCTCTCCTAGCTGTTGAAGAAACAGGTGGTGACTCTTGGAAATACAGTCTACGGGTAAGTGAAGACACACACACACACACTAAGAAATGATATTGATTACCTGAGAAGGGGGAAGCAGAAGCTCAGACAGAAAGTGGTCCTCCGTGATTTCAAGTACTTTTGTGTTTGTAAGTGCACAGTGATGGTGGTTGTACACACAGTCCTCAACCATGGCAGCAACTCTCTGGTGCGCCTCGCTCGACAGCACAAACAGTAAGAAGAGGAATGCTGTTAAAAAGAAACTTAAAATGTTCAGTGCTTCAACAAAAATGTCTGATTTGCTGAGATAAAAGTTTACATTTAGTGAGACAAAAACAGAACTTGAGCCTTAAAGGGATAGTGCAACCACAAATGAAAATTCAGCCATTATCTACTCACCCATATGCCGATGGAGGCCCCGGTGAAGTTTTAGAGTCCTCACATCCCTTGCGGAGATCAGCGGGGGGAGCGGCTAGCACACCTAATGGTAGACGGCGCCCCAGACTAACGTCCAAGAACACAAAATTGAATCCACAGAGTACCTCCATACTGCTCATCCATAGTGATCAAAGTGTGCTGCAGCCGCGACATAAAAAGTTGTTTCGGAAAAACGTCGCAGCTCATGAGCATCAGCCAGCAGCTGAATACCGGAGTCGAGCACTGGAAACCTGGTGGTGTAGTTGTTTCAAATGCAAAGCAATGCCAACGGATGAGGAAAGTCTTTGCTGCTCAGACTGGGAATTGGCGATGCCTGCACTTGAGAATCTGGACATCAGTACTGACGAGACTGCTGCTCTTCAGAGACCGTGCATCACCGATCACCCTGAGCGTGCACATGTGAGCGCGGAGCACAGAGAAGCAGTCAGAGCTACAGGCTACAGTGAGGCTAAAAACAGAGTTCATATGATGTTTTTCGAAACAACTTTTTATGTTGGGGCTGCAGCACACTTGGATCACTATGGATGAGCATGTTGGAGATACTCTGTGGATTCAATTTTGTGTTCTTGGAAGTTAGTCTGGGGAACAGTCTACCATTAGGTATGCTAGCCGATCCACCCGCAGATATCAGCAAGGGATGTGAGAACTCTAAAACTTCACCAGGGCCTCCGTCGGCATATGGGTGAGTAGATAATGGCTGAATTTTCATTTTTGGGTGCACTATCCCTTTAAGTCCACTCTTTTTGATAAAAAGAACCATAACTGCAGAAGATTTCAGTTTATTGGGGCTGTGATGTCACGTTTTTTTCACAAATATCCTTTAGTGTGTGCCGTATTTTAAAAAATACAGTATTTTATGTGGTGGCACGGAGCAGCTGTATACATTGTAGCATCATTAAACTGTTAGTGGTCTCCAGGGCTTTCGATCTCGTCTCTGTAGCTGTGGTTTGTCTTCAGCTGTTTTTCTGTGTCATGACATAATCTCTTATTTAATGTCATATTTTTTTATCTACCCCTCATTTCTCTTTGCCTCTCTTTCAGTGTTGAGCCCCATGTACTTACTTTCATCACTTCAGATGACAACTTTCTGTTCTGCTGTTTTTGAAGCAGAGTCAAACATTGATTGATTGAACCTCAAGGTCTTGTTGTAAAAGTTCTTTTTCATTTGAGCACAGTGCAGCAGAAAAAAGTGGCATCACATGAGAGCTTATTAGGAAGCTAATTACTTCACACTTCAGAATTCTCAGTAGAAAACACTGAGCAGTGTTTCTCAATTTTTATTGCATCACTGTTCCTTTTTGTTCGGTAAGTGTTTTTGTTAAAATACTTAAAAAACTGATGAACACTTTAAAAGCTATAAACACCAGCTGGCCTAATAAAAGGGATTTAACTATAAATTGAAGAGAGGCCCAAGAGTTTTACAGTATTTCTCCTAGTGTGAAAGTTTTGGCCTGGTGGATGGGCCGGCCGTTACCACCTGCCTCCACACCAAATTTCATTCTCAAAATGAACACTTGAGAGCCTTTTCAAAATCGACATGAACCACCTCTCCCATTGGCATAAATTAGACTGACTGCACAGTGCTTATTTAAAAAGAGGACATGTCACTTTTAAAGCTGGTTCCTGGGTTACTCCAATTATTTCCTTCTTCCAAAACAGTGATGAAAAACACCAGGAGCACATGCCAGAAGTTGAGTTTCCATTAACAATGAGAACAATGACTGCAAGACTGCATCGCCAATCTGTTTTAAAGGCTCAGTGTTTAGGACATAGGGGCATCTATTGGCAGAAATTCTACATCATATCCAGAACTATGTTTTGATTGCAAACTCACAGCCAAACTCACAGCCACTCCTACTTAAGATGGCTTCTCTTTGTTACAAAACTATTTGCCTGATAAAGGTCTAGTCACCGAAACGTTGCAGCATTAAAATCATTATGTTTGCAAGTCAGACAGTGTGCAGGAGTTTTTTCTACAAGTTGTGCTCTGCTTAGTCTCGCCACCAGACAATCAGAGATCTCCGCCTTCTAATAGTCTGGGGACACTCCTTTCTAAAGTGTGTTTAACACACCGGAAAAAACGGCTGGCAACAAAGCAACGCCTCTTGCATTTTTGAAAAGGACACGCCCTCCTGGAAATGTGCGCTCCCCCTTTTCTCATCTGCAGGGACACAAACACACAGAGAGCTTGAAAATGGATGCCAAGAGATTTAACTCTGTTTTATCAAACGTGTGCTCAGTCCACAAGATTGCGGAAATGAAGCACTTACAGTGACTTAAGCCATTTCGTACCGCTGCACATGTTTCTGGTCGGACTATGTGTACGAGCACAAGAGTTCAGCGAGCCACCAAAGGACTGCCCTGCGGATTTACTATTAGTTCTGCAACGTAGGGAGTTTTTTTAAACTCTGAAATTGTATCCGCCCATCTAAACACAAAATCAGGGAGAAAGTCATCAGTCTTTAGTCAAGCAAAGCGTCTAAAGACTGACTTGTGAGTCTATGCTCTGCTTGTCCCTCACCTATGCACCTCTTGGGAAACATGTGTTAAGTATTCCTTTGTTAGGACACCACTGCAGTTAACAGTGTGTGGTGCATTTCTGCAGAATGAATACAGGGGAACACTGTAATGGTTGTTTGGCATTTTTTGGCCAGCCATAGGTTCCCATTGGCCTGGCAGCCCCCCAGGTCTGTACAATTACAGGAGGAACATTATAGCACTTTGTTTTAGTCAATGTTTATTTCTCAGATACTAAAAAAATGAGTTAACAATATCTTTGAATTAATTTACACTGTAAAATAATCACAGTCCCTGAAAGTAGAAGTTTGCAAAGATCCATGCCAACGCAGAGGTTGTGCTAGACTTTTTCGTCGCTGTCGTAAAAATCCTGTCATAATCTATCATTTTAATTTTCGTTTTTAAATGATAATAAAGATATTCAAAGACATTTAGTTTTCATTCGTTCATTTTAATAAATCCAACAAGCAAGTTATAAAGTGTGCATTAATAAGGACATGAACGAAAAGATGAACAGACATCCACACACAGCAGTGCTTCAGTAAGGCGTCTGGTCTACACGCGAGCCGAAAGCGCTTCTGTCAAGCTGGATAGAGCAGATCGTACCAAACAGGAAGTCGGACACAGAAAAGACGAGAGAATCCAGCCAATTTTCAAAATAAAATAACAACAGCATGCACTGGCGAACGTGAGGGAATACCATGTTTATAATTTAAAATAACACAACAGTGCATAATCGAACACATTTTTCAATACCCTAATCACTTCATTACAATTTTAATTTTGTGTCACCGAGCCTACAGACTACATAAATAAAATGGTCAGAACAATATGCCCTATTCATTCAGTATTAATCCAAAACGCTCAATACATGGACATGCAATGACAAATTGTCATTAACTTATTACGTTATAAAAAACAATTAAAATATGGACTTACCCATGTTTAAAATGACCTGTTGATTTGAAAAAACGAGTACTGACGGGAACAGACGAGTGGAGTCGATGTATAACCGGCGCAGAGAGCGCAGGAGAAATGCGCTGCCTGTGTGGACAGTCAAGCGCCTGCTAGTATACTCGCAGGACTTCTGCGGCACTAACGCGTCCGGTGTGTCCAGGCCGTTATGTTAACAACGCTACATGAAGCAGATGAATGCCTTTTCTCTGCAGTGTGAAAACGGCAGCCACTTAAACCACTGACTGTGCACTCTGCCGCCAAGTGGGCAGGGGTGGTAATTACAACCAGTCAAATGACCGACGGCCTTCAGATTTTCTGGTCATTGTTGTAAGAAATCGGTCAATGACCGAGAATATCCGGTTAACATGACCCCTGTGTCAATGTCTCTGCAAATCTGTGCGAAGAACTATAGGCTGCCTAACCTAGCATCTGAATACAAATATGTTCCTGTCTGTGTAGTATAACTCTTGACACAGGAACCTGTAACTTTTCCCATACAGTGTTCATCATCTTTTGACCTTCGTATTAACACACTGTGGTGCTCAGCATGGTTCATGGATCAAATGTCACGATCCATATATTCCTCTCATGGTTGCCAATCCCAGTGGCTGATTATATAGATGACCTCTCCCTATCAATAATACCAGCTGCCTATATTTTCCAAACAGAACAAGGGTTTGTGTTAATCTTAATCCTGTAAAGCTGGATTGGCTTTTCGGAAGTGTCACCTGACCGATTGCCACCAGGTTGGAAAGGTCATACCCCTGCCACATCCTGTGAGATGACCCCAACAGCATGCATTCATGCACTGGCCCATGTTGTCAAATCCCTTACACCTTTGTTTATTTAATATTGATTTTTTTGCAACGTCTAAACCCAATAAACTACTGAAGGTGGGTGCACATTTCTCTAACACAAACACACACACACACACAAATCCCCTGACAGTTTCACATTGACTTTTTACTGAACCGGGAGCTCAGTGCATCGCTTGCCATTGTTTGTGTGTGTTTGTGCACAAGCCTCTTTGTGTAAAATGTTCTCTGTGTATATAGAGGAATGCACTGACATCACCTGCCCAACCCAAACTAAAGCAGGCTGCTAAGAATGGGGAGAGCTGGGAGAACAACAAAATGAACGATTATGATGGCTTCTGCATATAGTGTACCATCTATTCTGCCAATTAACTGTCTTCCTCTTTGTTCCCTCTGCTCTCTTTCTCTATATAGCCTTGCACAGAAGTATTGTTCCTGGATATCTTCCACAACTACAACCAGACACTTATACCGGTGCTGCTGGATATGGTGCAGAATCTCCAGGGTCGGTTAAATGTCAAATCAAAAATATTTTTGCATGCCAAAAGCAAAGTCTGCTCTCTTTTCAGCAATCATTTAACATCCTTTCACTGCAAGGAAACATGAACTTATCACCATTTTTTTCAGGTACAGCGCTGCATTAAATTCACCCTAATGTTATCACCAAGACCCCTTCTTTCAGTGTATTTGATCTCAGTTTAGGACTTTATTAATTTGCATGTTTTAGTCATGCTAGGTGTGTAAAGGTTCTGAAACGGAGCCCCACACAGCAACACAAATGTCCACACTTCCCATGTTGCATTCCCATCTTCCCTGTCTGGATTTCTCCCCACCACCCAGTCCGCTGCCATCTCTACAGGTGCAGCCTGTTGACCTGTATAACATTAAGAGACAGAGCTCTCAGGATTTTCTATACATTGATTTGTTATCGGTGGCCCACCACAACATCAGCATTAACCGCCACATATTGTTTTTTTTGTTTTTTTTTTACTATTTAATATGGGTAAAAACTTATTTCAATGCAGAGCTGCGGGCAGCGCATTGATTTGCTCAGCCCCTTCTTGTAGTGTCATGATACTGGAATTTCTAATTTAGGTGCAATACCTTGACAAATATTGATATTCGATGCCACTTTTAATACCACAGGAAAAAATTGACATTGAGGGAATACAAGTTAAAAGGTTTATGAAAGATGAAGGTTAAAATAAGACAAAGAAAACTTTTTTTCTTGGTTAGTTGCAGAGAACAGCAGAATAACTCTGGTAAACATTAACAATAAGGGAGAGTAAGCACAGTGTATTTAAACGGTTTCAAAGATTTAAATAATTTAAGTAGTGATAAATTGATATTTTTGACAACACTTGCCCCTCTTTGCCCCACTCTCTCTCACAAACACATTGGCAACAGACCTGTCTGCATCTATTATTTTTTCCAACCTACTTCAGATGAAACTGGCTGCGTTCCCATGGGAACTGCACTCAGGCGGGTCCCGCTAAATATGACAGCTACAGTAGCTTGGAAAATTGCGATATGGGGCACTGAATTTGATGAATATACCTTTTATCAGGCGACACCCTGGGTACATTCAAGTTGGTTGTGTGGTGGTCAGCAATGTATAGACTGGTCCTCTTTGAGTTAATTTTATAAAAAGTTAATCTACCTTAGTGCTCTTTAATGCTCCTATAGTTGGTTATTAAAACCCAGTAAAATGTTACCCCTTTCCCCAGAGTGTGTCTTTTTGCCTTTGCGTTTGAAGATACTACACAGATTAAATTGCCTTGCACTGCACATACAGACTGCCTCCCTGTGACAGAAAATGGGCCTCAGATGTCAGACCCCATTTCCCATCATGAAATGTTGCCTTGCCTCAGAGTAAGTGATACATATTTCATATATCAGAAGGCAGCAAAGCGTGTGGGTTTGTCCATGTTGCTCTTAGCATTCACAGTATGTGTAACATGCAATCTATAAGCTTGACAGCACCTTCAAGTTCCCTAGGGACAACCTCCACCATTACAACCACTCATGGCCGTCTAGATGGTCACACACACACACACACACACACACACACACACACATACACCACTCAGCCACTGGTCCCCTGGTGGCACTGGCGTGTAGCTCTTGCTCTGTTGCTGAATTAGCAGCGCCATTGCTCAAACGGCCAGATTACAGGGTCCGCTTCTGGCTTGTCTCCCAAGCTGCTTTCGTCTTCAAGTGACAGAGTGGAAATGGGTTCTGCCGGAGCAAGGAAGAGGCCAGATTGTTGTAATTCTATGGTTGAAGGGAGGTGGCTATTGATTTTGAGAACTGAGTACACAACAAGAACTAATAGAGAGGGAGGAAACAGACAAGTTAAATGATTGAGGCAAGACTGATATTGTTGATTCGAGGTCTCTTCAGGTTGCAACTGTGTTATGATGTGGTAACTGGGTCCAATAAATCAGATGAGAAATATGTTGACTGTATGACCAATAAAATAATCCAGAGTGTTTCTGTCTTTGCAGGTCCAACCAATGTGGAAGACTCTGTTCAGCTGCTAATGAAGGATGCAGGTACGTCAAAGGCTTTAACTTCTCTTGCTGGTTTAATAACTGCTGTCATCTGTTATGCAAGGTGTGTTAAATGAGTGATTTGGACTAATAAGAGTCTGATTTTGCCTAAATTACAATTTTATCTGCAACACAAAATATGAAGGATGTTAAATTTGCTTTATTAAAATTCTCCAACCACAATCTCAAACAGATGGTAAAGGGAGAGCTGGGTAAATTGAGATTTTAATAAAGCTACAGTCATTTTAGGTGAAGACATAAAGTCTGAATAACCACATGAAAAGGATAATTGTACCTATAGACTCCCATTTTGGTAGCTTTTTATGTGAATCCATTCTTATTGTACTGCTCGCTCTCAGGTCCACGAACACCTTGTTTCCCCCTTCTTCCTTCTTTCCTTTCTTTTTCCCCCTCTCTACCTCCTTTTAGTATTTATAACTCTGTGGCAGGTCAGGGCTGCCTCTCTGGTGGTTTTAAGGCATACACAACTAAATTACAGACAGTTGGGATTGCCTGCTATTAGGGCCTCTGTTAAAGCTGGGTGCCTGCAGAGATCTCAGCAGTCGGCTGAAAGTGTTGATAAAACAGCAGACATCACTGGATGATGAAGCTGTGCTGTGGCAGCAGCAGTGACATGTAATTGTGGCTCTGAGAGCAAAAGCTGGCTGAAGAGCCAGCACTTCATAACAGCAGGTGCAATCTGAAATTAGTCAATAATTATGAAAGTGCTAATATCATTATAGATTAGAGCCCTATTCCCAAGACGGGATCTCTCTTATAATTAGTGATGCACCGAATATTTGGTAACCGAATATATTTGGCCGAATATTGCAAAAAAACACACATTCGGTATTCGGTGGAATAAGTGAAAAGCAAGACCGAATAATAGTGGCGTGTTTTGATAACGTAATCAAACAGCATGCGGTGACGGACGGAGTAAAATGTCGGCAGTGTGGCGATATTTTACTCCGTCCGTCACCGCACTTGCATTTGCGGCTAAAATAGTTTTGCACAAGCAAAATAAATCATTCAGCACGCTGTGTGAGTACAGATTTCAACCAGCAGCAGAAACGAAAGGCGAATCCCGCCGGTTGTGGGTTGAACGGGGGTCACCTGTCAAATATGGCAGCCATAGTGCTCCGCGGCGCAAGATAAGGCTTACTGGCGACGGAGAAGTCTGGCTCCAATAACGTCCTCTTCTTGGCGTCATGACTGCCCAAAAGTACCTGGACAGCCGAGCCGTGGCGGCACACAGGTATGTGACGTGTCAGAGGAGAAATGAGCCGTTCACATTTCTCTCTTTGTGGCAGGTAGTGGTCCACAAATCTCACCGCACTTTAGGGGCTGTTCTTTACTTATGAAGGGACTGTTCTTTACTTGTCAGGGGAGGAGGGTGGCTGGTTGATTTTTATTTCATTTATTTATATTATTTTGATCCCCCCTATGTTAATCACTGATTGATGCTGTTTTTGAAGTATGAATAAGTCAATAAGTAATTTATTCCATTGAAATATCATTGATGTATTATAGAAAAGTGATTTATCTTTTTATAAATGACAAAAGGCACATCTGCCTCATTTTCGCTGTGGTATCATGATACTACTCAGAACCATGATATTTTCAATAGTAAAGAACAATGGGAACCAATATTGGTACAATGACAACACTAATCTGGAGGGGGTTCATCTGCAAAAACTAATGAAAAACTAAACAACTGTATTCGGTATTCAGTACTCTGTATTCGGCCAAGCGTTTAATTTTATTTGGCTTCAGCCACAAATTTTCTTTTCGGTGCATCCCTACTTGTAATTTGTAATAAGTGCAAGGGTTGTCTGTCATCTTAATCCTGTGCAAATCGACCATGTCTGTAATTTGTCAAGTAGAAATTCCATCTCAAATTACCCATCAGATTTTGGCACACTCAGAATTCATGTAATAATACTAGTTGCAAACTGTGTGAAATAACACAACTGTGATTTGGAGTTGTATGTATACACATGTATTTTTGCAAGGCTTTTTGTTTTCTCCTCACCATTTTCCTGCCTCCTCTACTGTCAAGAAATACAGAGGCTGCTTTCACAATTATAAATGAAAGCTTTGACAGCATTTCGGGTGCATATTTAGGAGATTCATCTCAAGCTCAAATCCATCAGAAGAGCAAAATCTCAAAAGATGATGAGATGGATGACGTCACAGTGTGTGGCAGAATTGGTGCTATTACATAAAAAACAAAAAACAATCACTGCTGGTGGTGCTGTGTTAGTCATGCGCATCATATTTGGGGAATTATGTCAGTAAATCCAAGTAAAATACAGACTTGTGTGCATGCTGATGTGCCGCATGACATGCACATGGGTTGGGTACTTTCTAAATCACATGAGGTCCTTTGGTAATACTGTTCCTGTGCGAACAGGGCTTCAGACCTTAATTACACTGCTGTAAAACCCAAAATATAACTGAGATTAGAATTGTTGGAAAAACTATTAGGCACTCAAATGGGTAATTATTTTAAAAGCCTTTAATATCTCATAGTTATTTAGTCATAGTAACAGTTAAAACATGCCTACGCGTTTCAGCCATTAAGGCTTTCATTGGGGCAAATAAAAAACGGTTGTCTTTTTGGCTGTTTCCCATAAGTAGTCCCATGACCAGTATGTATAAGCATTCATGTGATTAGCTCTGACAGGTAAAGTCACATGACAGACACGTTCAGCAGAGGAAATCACACATCAGGACAAAACGACAATAAACACATAAAAGGATATATAAAAGATATTTTAGAACTTCTTAGTAATAACATTTTAAGTAAACACAGGCAAGAAAGCACTTGACATTTTTCAAAGGACCCAGATGCCTAAAAAAGAAGAGAGTGCTACAGAAGAGGAGAGAGTTGAAATACCAATATGTTGGCCTTGATGGTGGCCTTAATGGTTAAAATGTCTAGACATGTTTTAACTGCTACTATGACTAAATAGCCATGAGATATGAAAGGTTTTTTATTTAATTACCCCCTTAAATACCTCAGCTGTCTTCATCAATTATAAAGTAGTTGGATCTCCAAAGAGGGCCGCCTTTTCCCTACCTGAGCAGCACTCCATCTATACTGTTTCGCTTTAATGAGCAGCAGACTGGAACAGGCACAGAAGCCCACCCTATGTGGTACAAAGAGATTTGTCATATGTAACAGACAGCGCTACGTAACAACCATATTTGCTACAAAATCAAGACAACCTGCTGAGACTTTTTATAGCTGACAAATGTTGCTAACTGGCATTCAACCAGATATAAACCAAAGCTTTTAATTTAGTTACTGCAGACATCCATGAGGTGTTTACATATTTTTGGAGCCCTGGTATCAGTCCCACATTTGTCATTTTAGTGCAACACTGGCAGCAGCTTATCTTCCCCTTTCTGAAACACTGTGCACAAGAACTGAGTAAGTATATTTCACTACGCCATTAGCTCTCTGAGAGGCCCTTTTGGACCACTGAAAACTTATGAACATCACATCTTGGAAAGCCAGAATAATAAACCAGGGCTGTAGACCAGGAAATAAGTATACTTTACCTCCAAGGCAGGCCAAACTCTGTCAGGAGCAACAAACAAAGGACTTTGTCAACAACAAAACAAATGTGATAAACTACGAAAAAAGAATTAAGAATGGTGAGGACCCACACACTACAGAGCTCTCAGCTGCCTTTTCACTCCAGTCTTCCCTCCAAGGAAGGAAGGAAGCAGAAGAAAAATGCTTGTGTTACTCTTCTCGAGAGTTTCAAATGTCCTGCCAGTTTTATTTACCTATAAATAGTAGCCCCTCAAAGCTTTGTTTTTTGTTGTAAGGACTTTGGCCACTGCATCAGCACCTGTGGACCATCCATCTTTTCTGACTGTCCTTCCATGTATCCATCTTTTTGTCATGATAAACGAGAGAGGATATGTCTGAGAGGTGTTTAGCTGCTCCATAAGTTTTTGGATCTTTCCGCCAAGAGACACCTGCAGTGTTTTATATCTCTGTCTTGCTTTGGCTTTTCTTCCTTTCACACACACAAATCAAGTCAGTTTTATTTATATAGCCCAATGTCACAAGTCACAAATTTGCCTTGCGGGGGCTTCACAGTCTGCAGTGTTTATGACACCTCTGTCCTTCACGACCCTCAATTCTGATAAGGAAAAACTCCCAAGAAACCCTTCAGCTTGGAAATATGGAAGAAACCTCAGGGTGCGTAACTGAGGAGGGATAGATGTCATGTGTACAGGACAGACATCATAATAAAAGTGAAATACAGACAGTCCATATGACAAACTTCAAACATTAAATGTGAACATAGGAACATAGGTAAAAAGTGGATCCAGGAGGATGTCAAGCAGCTTCCAGGTTTCACCAAACAGCTCGAGCCTGAGCCACACAACCATCTCTCCACCATGTAGCCTGGAAAGAGGACAGGCTACACAAACACAAGAAGCAAAACTGAAGCACGTGATACCAGGCCACCATTTTCTTAATGAATTACCTGGTTAAATACAGATTATACAAAAACAGAAATGATCAGACAAATGTGAATGACACAAACACACACTGAGAGAGAATCTCATGGAGGTTTTTGGCAAATGTTGGGCCATTTTGCAGGCAAGCTGCGAGCGTTTAGACACACAGAGCCGGATTGGTGAGTTGATCCAAGGTGCCCAATTTTCAGCCACATAGGGGTAAACATAATGGCGGAACCTTTTTGGTTTAAAAAGAACGAGATGCCCTTCCACCACGGAAGTGACTTGTGGGAGGAGCTGTTGATGATGCCGCACGTGCGAGCCACTGGTGGTGAACTAACAGGAAACAGCTGATAGCAGGAATGAGCAGCTAGTAGCAAGAGGGAAACGCAGACCTGAAAGGCACTGTAAAGATGAGCAAGGAATTGCGCCCCTTCCTTGCCCTCGCAGACAAAGAGGCCATTAACCATTAAATGACGAGGATGGTGAAGGACGGTCCAATTTACAAGTGAATTGCCGAAGGACTGACCAGCCGCAGCTTCCCTCGGAGTACATCACTGTTTACGTCACACGCTGAGATACATGTTTTGTTACTTGCTCACGCCCCCCATTGCCCCGAAAAAGGCATATTCTGTATGAACAAAAGTAGACAGGCGGCATTTCGCTGCACTCCCCGATTTTGTTTTTATACTGCCAATGCTGAACGAAAACTGATTGGTCTTTCCCGCAAATTTGCACAATTCCTATTTAAAAAGGGCTAGAGAGAGGTCCCAGGATGGCTGATGGTCTCACAGAGAAACCTGAGTCAAAAGAAAAAGGGAGGGAAAAAGAGACACAGAAACAGAGAGGCACACAACAGTGCTTGTGGAACACAAACAACAGGGGGTTATTGAGAGGCAGTGGCGTAAAGTTAATATTATTTTGTCAGCAGGACTACCAGGCATAAAATTATACATTGAGACTGAGACCGACCCACCAACCGAATAATGAAAGAATAAGCAACTAATTGAAAGTTACCAGACATTCTGTTTCTGTCCATAGATAGGGTATACCAGAGGAAAGGGGCATGATAGGAAAAAACTCTGTGGCTGTGCTGACTTCTTTTGAACTCTGGGGACAGACAGGGGCTCTGTATGCTGAGAGCAGATTGCAGGATAATGTTTAAGGACAGACAGGTAGAAAGGCAAGTTGTCAGGGAGGAAGTGATGTGGACATTTACAATTTTGTGAGAAATTAGAAGCACTTAAAAGATTTGATCCGACATGGATCAGGAGCCAATGATGGGAAGCTATAACTGATGTGATAGGATCACATTTTTTTAGTTATAGTTTTGGATTCTTGCTGTGGCGTTCTAAACCATTTGAAGACTGCTAGCACTGGCACAGCACAGATATGACATGACAATCCAGTCTGGTAGATACAAATGCTTGAATTTTAGGATTGCTGATTGCATCTGAGACCTGATTTTAGCTATGTTGCAAAGGTGAAAGAGATAAACACTCGCTTAAAGATACAGTAGATCCCAATATACTACCTATCCCAGCCTCACTTATTAATAGAGAATTAAAGTAATATTAAATCTCCTCCCTTCTGTCTTTGTCTATTTCCTGTCTCTTTATTCTTTTTGCCACATCAGAGTTTCATTACCTTTAAAGATAAAATATAAATAGTACCAGGAAGCATCTCTTCTACTCAAATGGCTTCTCTCCCTTTATCTGACGATATTATATTGTTCTCATACTGTCATCTTCTTCTCTAATCTCATCCTTCAACTTTTTCCCTGTTGTCTTTCAAGTGCAGTCTACATTATTGCTGCTATTACACCAACTCACATGCATATCTTACAATCTGACACACATAAACCATAACATATAATCAGCATTTGAGGAGACACACATGCAAGTGTGCCCATGGTAGCATAACTAAAGGAAACATTAGATCGCTGAACTGTGAATAGGTTGTCCCAAGGTAACAGGAGCTTACCAGGGTTTCTCGAGTAGGCTGAAGTGTTTACACGATTAGACCTCAGCTGATGGTTTACCCTTTTCCAACTATGACATTTGAATGACACCTCATCTCCTTCTTTGTACACTTAAGCTGGCGTAAGTCCTTACACTAGAACTGTCATTTAAACACCTTTCATGGCTTACGCTATATTTTGCCCCCTTTATCCTTTTCCCATTATTCCAACTCTTTATACTCTTTCAGCTGCTCTTTCATACCAAGTTATGCCAGCTGTTGTTCAGCTATACATGAAGCAATACAGTCCAGCTTCCATCTATTCAGCCATTGCAATGCAAGGTTTAGCTCTTGGCTGTCCATCCAGGATTGCAGCTCAGTGTCAGCTTTTCAGCAGCCAACAATTCCACAGCATTTCTTTTCAGATATTGTATTCTCTAGTCATGAGTTTGAGGTTTTTTGCTCACATAAAATAATCAAACCTTTGCATCACTTGTCAGGTTTTTTTTCAGTGTCTATGTGTGATTAAAAACGTGAAACAAGAACGTCCTGTAGGGGACATAACGCGGCTATTTCCTTTAAGAAGTTGTCAATGACACGATGACTCACATTTTAGTGTTCTGTGCCTCATTTCAGGACCATAAGCCATGTCTTTTTAACTTTTTTCATAACTTAGACTTTTGTTTACTGCACTTTTCTCGGTGCTACTGTGGAAACTGTGACGAAATGATAATGATTTTCTTACTGTTGTACCTTGTTTTGTCTGCAGTATACAATGCAGTGGGGCTGGCAGCTTATGAGCTGTTTGACAATGTGGACTTTGACCAGTGGTTCAAGAATCAGCTTCTTGGAGAGCTACAAGTCAGCCATCACAGGTATGTGTCAGTCACACAGTCACAAATTTTCTGTACGTCTTCAATTGCATTTCCATTTGTCATGGTATTTTCTGTTTCATAGTATCATGTTTGATTCACACAAACTAAAAAAAATCATTAAATATTTACTACTCAAGAAAAAATACCAGCTCAAGTTGGGCAAATAACACAAAAAGCTGATATGAATACGTTTCTGAAGCTTTTTAATGTCGAGTTTTTGCTCCAACTGTCATAGAGGAGTTGGACTGCATCAGATTGCCTTCATAAAACCTCATAATATTTGCACTCAAATGTATTAGTATGTGAGCAACATTATAGAACACCAAATCAGCCACGGCCTTAAAAATAACCAAAGCTGAGTCATCTCCTGTCTGACAGAGTTTCAACAAAAATCGAATGTAACAGGCTTCCCCAAGGAAGTTTTGTATTGCAGGGATATTGATTTGGATTGCATAGTGTCGTACAGGTGTTTTATCATTTCCTCTAGACTCTTTGTATGCAGTATTATTTTAAATGCATCACTGTAAGGAAGCGTATGACTCTTGAATAAATCGCATCTTGCCTCACTAACGTTACACAGGCTTGAAGCAATAATAGTGAAGCTTGAGGCAGCTATGTAGCTCTTATTTTAAATGGCTGTTTGTTTTATTGCCTTTGACCTCACTCTCCAACCTAAGTGGTGTCTGAAAGCAATGTTAACCCTGCAATGCACTGGTGTAACTTAAGCTAATTGTCTATTACTCTCCAGTTATTGATTACTGTCAGCAGTACAGTCGGTGCATGCCAAAAGGCCCCTAAGTGCCCAGTTGATAATTAGGTGTGGGAAACTCCAGGCACCCCACCATTCGATTCCGATTCAAGAGCTAAGACTCTAAGATTATAAAACAATCAAAGATACATCTTGATGCATCAAATTTTTTAAATTTCTATACATGATTTATTGATTTATTGTTTTTTTAGTGACTGCTTGATACTTTTAAAACATAGTAACTGTGTTTGTAGTGATCCATAGCTAAATAAACAGATCAATTTACTTGCATAAAATATGGCTTTTGTCCAGGTCCCTTTTCGCATCAACTTTATAGCCCAAATGCTTGCATACTGCTAGCTTTAAAACCAGGAAGTGCCACTTAGATTGTATCCATTTGTGGGATATTTATGTTGGCGTAGTGTCCAGTGTTTACATACTGTAGTATTTCCCTGGAAATAGTTTGTAATGTACATACTGTTGAATAGTAAATGCTTCACAGCCTTTTAATTTTAAAAGTTAACTGCATTAATTAATGAATTTATTCAAATGAAATCATCTTACATTCTCCTGCCTGTATAACAGTAACGAAATAAGAGGGAGATGGAGTGCTCCACTGTGTTGTTTTAATGTCTCCAGCAGCAGAGGGCAACTTCTCTGCTGCACTTTTAGCTCCAAGTAAAGCCAAGACACTGAGCAGGCCAGGCGAAGGTGTTTTTTAAGGTGAAATGGACTGAGCAGAGAGTTAATGTCTTCTTCACAGAGGTGTTTTAAGTTAGTTAATGCTGCAGTGTGTGTTGGTCAGCCAGTCTTTTTTGTTTACGTAACTGGTTATTGCTGCTTTGCTCTGGCAACATTTGTCTCTGGGCTGTTGCATAAAAAGTATTCACAACTTACTTCACATTCATCCCGCAAATATCATTATTTAGATATTAAATTAAAACATGCTTGCAATGGCTGCCTTGTTAACTCTAGACTGTCTGGGTGCTGCACTCCCCAAGAGTTTGAGTTCTTCCTCTCTTGATCAGTTAACATCATGTCATTTATTGACATTTGTAAATAAATGCCAAATTGCCCACATCTGCATAGTGATGCATTGAAGAATCCCCCACCCCTACTGATAATACATGCCTTGCCCCTACCGAATAGCCCTTAGCCCCCTGTTGTGCGTGTTCACATCTAGAGGAAGGGTGTCCTGATTCTTCTGGGATAGAGGGGTGGGGTGAAGTGTAAGGGTTAACATGGCCCTGTAATGGGGTTTTCAGAGGCACGCTCCAAACCGAGTGTCATTAGAAATCATGAGCAAGATGGCAGCAGAAGCAACAAAAAATGGGGATTTAAAAATTATCATAACCATCTTATTCCTTTTAATGTCATGTCAGCATATTATGTACCTTTTTTTTTTTTTTTTAAATATCAAGCATAACAAAAAAAAATCACTAGTAGTATGCCTGTCTCGGTAGCTTTGACAGCATATGAGGCCTGATATTTAACTGTAACTCCAGCAGCAAAGTTACCGCACTTGTTACTGCTCCTCTAATATCAAAGCAGACAAGCAGGGTAGGGGCTCAGATTGCCAATGGCAGCCTACAGAGCACTGCTAGCAGCCTGGTAATCAAGAAATGTCCTTTTTTATTTGATGACTTGTTTGATCGACTGATAGCTTGAAGGTTAATTTGTGAACGAATTCTGTCCACGCTTTTCTTTTGTCTTTAAATTAATGATGATAATAATATTATAGTCATCATTGCATCTGTCTATGTAAACGCCATTGACATCTACTGTTGACACATCAGGGTCTTAGAGGGTTGTCCCATTTCATGAGGGAAGATTCTAGCCTTTACCCCTTGTACCTCTGTTCCAGGGAGCACATGGGCACTCAAAAATGAGGGCTTGGGGGGAAAAATAAGAAATGGAATTGGGCTTTTGAGTCCATGTCTGCCATGGTCACATAAACAACTGCTGCTTGTGCTCACACAACTACTGAACAGTCAGTCAAATGTGCCACAGCATCATAACAAGCTAATTAAAGTCAGAAAACAGTAACTGTACAAACAGTATCATGGGTCTAAAGACAGTCCGATGCAGTGACATTAAACAGTGAGCTGACAGATGACTGCTTTTAAAAAGTGGTGGGAAAGAGGGAGAGTGACCAGAGGCGAGGTGGTGACAGCCACATGAAAAATAAAAAAGTGCCCTGCTCACACAGACCCCAAGACAATCAAAACAAAAAGCCTGCAGCGCTCAAAAGGTCGGCCTCTCAGGTTGGTGCTGACGTCAGAGTGCAGGCATGCTGATGTCACTGCGGCCCTGCTCCAACACAGTGCAGGTGCGAATAATTTCTTCACTTTGTACTTGGGTTTTTATTGCTTTGGTCTTTTTTAAGTTCAGTTCACCTCCACACTCCACAATCTTCTTTTCTGATATTCAAAATTTTACTTGAATTTATGAATTTGAACAAACTGAGCTTATAGAGACGCAGTGATGAGGGATGTCAGTCAAACCTAACCCTAGGATATTGAAGGCATATCAGTAGAACATCTTGAGAAATAAAACCAATTCAGGAAACAGCATTGATATGAAGCCAGATGTCACCTCTGTTGCTTTCCCTGTTTCTTGTGCCCAGAAAACACTAATGTAGACAGACATGTACATTTATTAATTCTACTCCCTTAATAACGGATGAAAAGAAGAGAGAACATAACAAATGGAAATGAGTATAGATAAGTACAAGTAAAATAATAATAAGAACACAATTAAAACATGCCATTGACTACGCTCCTATTCTTGCACATTTTGTCATCTTCAGCTGCTTAAAGTTGGTGAAGTGATAATAGTCCCGTAGTTTATAATGCCTCCATGCCTTGCCGTAGCTAGATGCATGATGCTTTTGGGTTTCATACGGATGTATGTTCGTTCCTTCTTCCATCCCATTCTTATAAATGAGTAATCTAAATCAAAGTTGGCATAAATGTCCAGTTGGACTCAAAAATGAACTGATTAGATTTGGTGATTCATTCATACGCTAATTATGACAAGATTTCACATAAAAAGGCTTATAGAATAAAATGATGAAGTAATGGCATTTTATATCTAAAGGTCAAAGGTACACCTCACTGTGACATCACAATGTCCTGCAAAAACACTTTCCTGGCCATTACTCAACATCATAACTCATAAACTGTGGAGACTGTACAGATCTTTTGTGCTGCCAGGTTGAGGATGTGTATGAAACATCCATTTTAGATGTGGCTTCTTTGCAGCAGCATCCATAGTTTAAGCATCGTCAACTGTCATGGCTACATACGAGTCTGGACGGACATGGATGTAATCTGTTACTTGACTGTTTGTGGAGGCATACAGCCGCGAGACGCTGATTCTAGTTTTTGCTTCACTTGTTAATTAGCAAAGCAGTATAAACATGGAAGCACAATCCTGACTAGATGTTTTCCCAATACATAAAAAGTTCTCATCTAACACAACAGTTGGCTCCAGGAATAAAATGTATCAGCATGTGGTTAAACAGTTAACAGATGTTTGAAAGATAAATTCATTGTTGGTTTTGGTCTCCTTGGTGAAATTCATTAAAAGATAACTCCATCCTTATCCTGTCCTTATCCTTTAAATGCCAAATAATGCCTTTAAAACAACAGAGAGGTCCTTGGATGATAACCTATTGCTTTTTGCTAAGAGGATTCTTTTTAACTTTAAGTAAAGCCATGGTTAGCTATAAAAATAGAAGATAAACTTTTCAACTTGCATCGATTTCTCTGTTGTGGGGCGCTGAGTCAGGCTGTGCTTCTGTCAGACTTGAGATGTTCCCACAGTCTTTTGAAGAGGCCTCGGCAATGAGAATGTAGATTCAGCATGGATATTATTCAGCATCAGTGATGATGTCCTTCACTGAGCGGAGTTTCTTCTGTAGCAATCAGAGGCTTGTTTTGTTCTGTTTTCGCGGGCATGTGTATGTGTGTAATGGTGTACATATGTTCGCTTGCTTCGTTGCCTCGAGGCCCAAACACACTAATAGAGTCTGACGCACACGTTTTGAAGTACACCTGTTGTTTTAAATGGCCGACCACACACCAAAAGTGTTATGAAGCGCGTCAAACCGCTTTGATGACCCTACTCCAACCTTGTTGAGATTTTGGAGTGTCAAATAAGGACCTAGCGACCAAAGTGTCTTTTTTGGCAGGCAGAGGATCTGTTTGGAGAGCTTCATTAGGTCAATGCAATCATTTGTATTCCTCAG